TGTAAAGAGCCATTTTAACAAGAATGAAATCAAGTTTACTGTCATTCAAATCTTGAAGTATATACTAAAGATTCTTGTGTAATGATATCAAACCTTGTATATTAAAAGAGATGTTTTGTTTAGTTTTGATGATATTTGACTGAACTGAATGTATGTATTTGCTAGTATTACAAGTCGCTACTGGACATCTTGTTTTAGCTTTTCATTTTTCTCTAGCCTTGAAGTCCAAGCTCAATGTAAATTTGTAGATCAAATTGTGACAAGAACAACTGTAACCTCAATTTTTGCTGCCATTTGATTTTTTTTATAATATAAAGTGATATTGTTCTTGAAATCAGAAGCAATGATTTTCGTTATGCATTCCTTTGTATCATTTTAATTGATGGAAGAGAACAAAGTTCATACTTGACAATGACTGTTAGAGTTGCACAACGTGAACGTAGACTGCTATGTGCGCCTTAAAAGGACACCACATTGCCTTAACGGATGTCACACGTGGCAGTCCATGATCTCTTTGTGCAAATCTTAAAGTCCCTATTACCGGTATCATTACAGAGAGGGGGAGAGACAGGAAGAGAAGAAGGAAGAGAGAAAGGAAGAGAGGAAGGAAGAGAGGGAGGAAGAGAGGAAGGAAGAGAGGGAGGAAGAGAGGGAGGAAGAGAGGGAGGAAGAGAGGAAGGAAGAGAGGAAGGAAGAGAGGAAGGAAGAGAGGAAGGAAGAGAGGGAGGAAGAGAGGGAGGAAGAGAGGGAGGAAGAGAGGAAGGAAGAGAGGGAGGAAGAGAGGAAGGAAGAGAGGGAGGAAGAGAGGGAGGAAGAGAGGAAGGAAGAGAGGGAGGAAGAGAGGGAGGAAGAGAGGGAGGAAGAGAGGGAGGAAGAGAGGGAGGAAGAGAGGGAGGAAGAGAGGGAGGAAGAGAGGGAGGAAGAGAGGGAGGAAGAGAGGGAGGAAGAGAGGGAGGAAGAGAGGGAGGAAGAGAGGGAGGAAGAGAGGGAGGAAGAGAGGGAGGAAGAGAGGGAGGAAGAGAGGAAGGAAGAGAGGGAGGAAGAGAGGAAGGAAGAGAGGAAGGAAGAGAGGAAGGAAGAGAGGAAGGAAGAGAGGGAGGAAGAGAGGGAGAAAGAGAGGAAGGAAGAGAGGGAGGAAGAGAGGGAGGAAGAGAGGAAGGAAGAGAGGAAGGAAGAGAGGAAGGGGGAGAGAGGAAGGAAGAGAGGAAGGGGAGAGAGGAAGAGAGAGAGGTAGAGAAAGCAACAACGAAAACATAACAAGCACTCAAATAAGAGAAAAGAAATTGGTCATAATAATTTCAGTCAATATAAAAGAACTATGAAATGTCATATTCATGTACTTTTAATTCTCATATACGAACATCGTAATCGTTATTTAGCTACACAGTAGCCAATGATACTAATAATGCATGTACAATAAAATATCTAGAGAAATAAGAAGTGGACAAATAATAATGCACGATATAACTACTTCATCTATCTTCAGAGTGATTACTTTAAATCTAAGAATGGAAATACATCGGATATACATGTAACAATTATTACCTCAATTTAAACAAGTAATTCTTACAGAAAGATAGATATTACAAAAGTCTGAGATTTAGAAATAGTGTACTGAAGTGTGACCTCATACCAAGTTGTCAAGGTTGCTGGTTCCAAACAATTTTGTGCTAAACAATGGCTTGGGTATCACACCTGAACCAAACACTGAATTTGCCCTGCTCCAGTCCGTTGCTTGAATCATTTTGTGGTGAACCTCATGGGAAGGCTCTATTTTTTTTAACCAGAAACCTTGACGATGAGTGAGTACTCAGTCATACTACAAAACTTACTCCATACCAATTGATTTCTGGTTAGAGGGGTAACGTATAGTTCTTTTAGGTCTGTAGTCAGTGTTAAGTCAGAAGGGCACTTTAGCAATGCGGCGGAAAGCAAAGAGGACGGGAGAATTCACTCAACCGTGATCAAAAAATGTATGCAGATCGGATTCTGTCTATTGAAACACAGGTGAATGAAATAATTTGTATTGAGGCACTTCACAAAGACTGACCGTAAATCTCTGTGTATAAGGCTCACTTTTTTTCCGTCTGCATAAATCAAAAGTCAGGGGTGCGCCTTATACACAAATACACTTTGGGCGACCTTCCACGCAAGCCGCCGTAAGTGGCGCTACAGTTGGGGGGCAGCTGGGGGGCTTCTGGATAGCACCTGAATGGGAAAGTTGAATGAGCGAGAGCTCGTTCGTACTTAGGCCCGCATCTACTGGCGGTGTGGTGAGAGTGCCTCCGTACCGTAAGATCGAACTCACAACTCTGCTCCAGCTAGCTAAAATTCCTTGAATTATTTATATTCTAACTCTAAATCATTCCGTCTCTCACTCTCTTCAATTCAATAAAATCATCTGCATGTTAACATACACGATAATGAATATGTGGGGCACCGTTACAACGGCGTCTCCCAAACTTCGATTGCCGAAAACGCACGCAAAACTCGCCAATGACGGACATCATCTACCCATTCATCCATCGTAAATGAAATAAATTTAGACAAAATGAAGTTGAAATGTCCGAAAGCGGCAAGGAATAATAAGTGGTTTGTCTGTGAGAAAGCAATGATCGTTGCATGCAAGATGAAAGCGCAAGCTGATAGAAGCCCCCCAGCGTGTAATGATAAACGTAGAGGGCTCACATCCATGAAAATTCGCCCGTATCGGTGTATACACAGGTACAGGATATTTTGAGTCCTCAAAATGTTACTTTTTAGTGGTTTTCGATAAGCACGAGTCATTACGTTTTTTGCGCCAAACGTTTAATCTTGTTTTTAGATCTCTGTAGGGGCAACAAAACCTTGCCGATAATTATTGTTTTTAGAGCTCCGTAGGGGCAACAAAACCATGCCGATAATTATTGTTTTTAGATCTCTGGAGGGGCAACAAAACCTTGCTGATAATTATTTTTTTAGATCTCCGTAAGGGTAACAAAACTTTGCCGATAATTATTGTTTTCAGATGCGGTATGCAATAAATTTGGTTACATTATGAAAATGGTCTATTGTACGGTGATACAATTCTTCCGTCGAGTTTAGGGAAGAAATGCTATTATGGCTGAGAACGGTCGTGAAAATCAACAAGGGGGAGAAAATTTTGGTTCACACATGCGCAGATTGATTGTTTCGCTCGGTTACCCTCGTCTTTTCCTTCCGTCGTGCTTGCGGAAGCGCTCTATATACAGGTTACAAATGAAGACGGGAGCATAGTACAAGACAATCTGGGTTGAGTGATTCTCCCATCGTCTTTGCCTTCCGTCGCGTTGCTAAAGCGCCCTAGTCTTATTTTTAGGACAGCGGTACTGCACAGGATTACATCACATACAAGGATATCACATGTATATACCAAATATAAAGTGTTAATTACATATAATTGAATGGTACTCCAAACAAAAAAAAGGAAAGGAAAACAAAAAAATAAAACAAGACACATGTACACGTGGTAAGAGCCTGTAGCAATAGTAACCCAAGGTACATATCTTAGATTTCTTTAAAGGAAATTTGCAATCTGTGCTAATAACACCATGCAAGATTCAGCGATATATTGCATGTTATATACCTCGCTTAAGAAATCCAGCGATCTGATTAGTCAAAATTAGAGTCATGATTTTAGCCATTCCCTGGGATACCCACTGGCTTACGTGTTAAAATGTTCTTTGTGTGAGCGCAGATACCATACAGTTATTAATTAATTTGGTTGCTACATTTGCACACAGCGCAGATGACCGCTGATATCGATTGTAGGCCTAGATCTTCATTTAATGACGAGATGGCGCCCCTTTGGAAATATGGAGATAAACTTGCTCTTTATATGACACCTCATTTTATGAGTATCAACTTCAGGATCACAAGCAATAAAGGTTTGCATGATAGCATATTACACTTAGACTGCATAGGGATATATGCATGCAATCTCAATGGGAAGGATTTAGCACACAAACTCGAGGGGTGCGCGATCAGGGGGGGGGGGGGGGTTGCTAAAAACATACACACATAATACACACATAAAAAAACTAAAGGGGGGGGGGGGGTAACCCCCCCCCCTCCCCTGCGTACGCGCCTGGCCTTGAATATGTTGGGATCTTGAATAAAAACGACGGTGGTAAAGAATTGAAGTGTTTTGAAAGAAAAGAGTATTTGAAGGAATCTTTGTTTGAGCTAATTGAACAATTACATACCTGCCAACATTTGAAAATAAGAATTAGGAATTTCTAGCACAGTATGCCTTAAAAAAAAAGAGAAATCTGTACCCTTAACAGGCGTTTGCACATGCAGCAGCAATGTAACTGGCAATACGTGGTAAATCTGTAAAAAAAAAATAAAAAATAAAAAAAAAAAAAAAAAAAATTCGCTGCTCTATCATGCAGCCATTCAACGCATAAATGATAAAACAAACTTAATTTGGCTAAAGCAAAAGCAAAACAATTTGTTTTGTTGAAAAATCAGAATATTCCAAATTTTTAAGTCCTAAAAATCCAGAAAATCGTTATATTTTCGGATTATTCGGAAGGGTTGGCAGGTATGCAATTAACAAGGTGAAGTATATTAGTATTGTTTAATCATTTAATTGCAATGAAGATCATTATAAGAGATTGATTCTTTCTTTCCATCCTTGCTTTCATAAGAGCTTGATATTAGCAGGGGTCTTGTCTACAATCGTAAGTCGAGACCCTCCAAATTTTTGTTAAGAAGGAGGCCTGTGCAGACAGTGCCCATACACATCCCCTAAAATATAAATATACATGCATATACTGTGGAGCCTTGGTTTTAAAGATACTTTGTCCCTTTTGCAGCCAACATCAAATTCTTTACAACTTTGCAGGAATTATGATCATGTTATGTATGTCCTATCTGTCAAATTTAAACATTAGCAGTGTCCTAATATTCAAATTATGCAAGAAAACCCGCTTACTTGCTGGACTTCACTGTCAGACACTTATTGAGTGACTTTTTTCTTTGGTCATAAAATATGTGAAGGGCACATGAGCATTTCTCTGCATCAATAACCCACTTCCTGTAATGGCCAAAATTAAACTGATTTAATTTTTGCGCAGCACAAAACGAACGACCATTCAATACAAAGTTCTGTAAATCAGACTATTACTTACTGACTTGGTAGCACTTAAGTCGATTCTACAACTAATAGTCGTTACTTTCCCACTCCAAGCCCCCCCCCCCCTTTTTTTTAGGGAAGTTCTAAATTAGTATTATCTTTCAAATGCCGTTGGACTTTAACTTTTTCATTTTTTTGGCCTGCAAATGGGACATACCATAGTACCTTTGATGTATGAAACAACTGAGAACATTTTATGGGCTTAAAGAAATAAAGACAAACCATGTTTAACAGATGAATTCATACATCTAAGTATAAAGATAGAAAAAGGGATACAGGGTATCGTTTCACAAAACAGCCATAAATGTTCGCAAACACCCCCTGATAAACATGTTTGATTATAAAGCACATGTTACAATGGGATGTTGGTAAACATATACTCAAAATGTTTGTGAGACATTGCCCAAATGATTTCAGTTCTACATGGAAGCATGCATACAATGTAACATTTACTGCAAAACAAAATAGTTTATTCACTTTGTACAGAAATAGCTGTATTCATACAAAATATTGTACCTTTCATAAGTTTTATTATGTTCAGGAATATTCATAATCCCCACAACACTTACAAAAGATGTACACAAAATTGAAAAATGATCATTAAAAAAATACAAAAATATTGCCACCCTATCCCACGATTTCCTCTGCTAGCTAGCAACTAATGTAAACATGGCAAGAGCAACATTAGCAATGAGGATGATTGTACCGAAGATCATGATTAGACTGTAGATGACGTTACGATCAGAAGGGTTGGTTATTACACTAGGTAAAAAGTATTCCACGGCTGCCATCAGAATCCACTGCCCATCCAAGGCATAGCACGGCATTGCGTTGAGGATTGCTAAAGCACCTGACAGGGAGATTAAATATCTGGTGTGAAAAGGGATTGTTAAGGTTTGTAATCTATGTTGATAAATACTTTCTTGCATCAAATCTTATCTAGGCTAAAATGTACATCTATTGTAGTAGACAAGCTAGTGTATGGCATCAAGGATCTTCAAATACCATTCAATTGATCATTTCAAACTAATGAAAACATGCATGATTTTGACAGAAGCATACAGTAATAATAATCTCCTGAGGAGATACACCTGTTTGTATAATTGAGGGAAATGAAGGTTATTGAGGATTGACAAGACCAATGAATTTAACAATTAATAAACATAAATCCCATTACTCGGGTAGATCACTGACAACTCCCTTAGTAAATAAGAAGTTATTAATTATAAAGGATACTTGCAGAACATCTCTATAACCTCAGGCAGTGTAAGAGGTAGCCAGTCATACTTGGGAACATAACTGCTGATCCTCACTGAAATATGAAAGAAAAGAAGAAAATTCACATGTAAAATAAAATAAATACACATTTACAAAGGTCAATGATTAGTGAATGTTTTAGGATATGAAAGGTTGTATGTATTAGAGGCTTTGATACAATCATCCCTGTCTTATAAACCCTTTCCTGTACCGCATAAACATTGCCAAAACTATCCTGTATGGTAGTTTAACGAATGCGGTTTTCTTGAAATTAAAAATGACTGTAAACAAATAATTTCTGGAACATGAAAGGTTTACCGGTTTCCTGGTTTCTCATTGAATGCCTGCCCAGTATGAAAACCAAAACAGACAATGAAACAATACCCCATGCCTCCTTGCAAATAAAGAATGGCGCCTGCCATATGTGGTAATTCATCTTTTTTTTTGGTGATAATTTTATTTAAAAATCAATCATTATGTTTGAATAATGATTATAAATTAGTTAATATTGAGGATTCAGTGACACAGAGACGTAGGTCCATATTTTGCCAAATGAGTATGTGATATCAAAATGTTCAGAAAAATGTGGGCTTTCCAGGAAACACAAAGACTTAACTCCGTCCAACACCCCATTGAAGTCAAAGGCTAGTGAAACATAGACTTAAAAAACTTTTTCTCAAAATGGAGTTACGTCTTTGTGTCACTGACTCCTCGATATGGTAAGTGTATAAAGAATTGAAAAACAAAAACAAAACAAAAATCAAATATACCACTACATAAAGTGAATACATTCTAATTCTAAGTCATTACAGTATTTTGGCTACACGTTTAACTGTCAACTTTATACGGGCGATTTTGGTTAACCGTTATGAAAATACACATATTTGTACATGTATGTAAATTCTCAAGTACTCAGTCATTTCGATGAAGACATAACATGTTCATGGAAAGAGGCTTAAAACGAAACTCCAAAAACACATACACACACACTCAAAAAGAATCTGTCTGGATTTTAAAATAATGGGAAAATGAACATCGGCATCTCCGAACTCAAGATAAGAAAATAATAATTATTGGCGAGACTTTGTTGCCGATACGGAGATCTGAAAACAATAATTATTGGCTTGACTTCATTGCCAATATAGATATCTGGGCCGGAGGGAGAAATGCTAAACGCTTTTGATAAATGCGGTCGTTACACCGTCTGTTAACAGTTTTGATTCGGGCTTACACTGGAGCAGAATCTAGAATAACTCTTCCATACTTTCATATTTAAATTAAAAGTATCTCACCTGTATAGCTAAAGAAGTATGGATCCCCTACATAGAGCACTGGAGGACCTGAGTTATGAGCAACTCTGAGAAGACGACTAGAGTTATCCAAGGAAGGATGCAGACAGACCATCTTTCTGGTTTGGAGGCAATCACTTGCCTTGTGACATCTTGGTAGCTCCGTCACAGGTCTAGCTTCTAAACAAGCATACATCTACAATATAACAAATGCCAAGGAGAATGGTAGGTTACACTAATATAGCACACTACACTTTACGATAGTATCATTACCTCTGGTCAAATCTTAAAGGTACTATGTCCCTTTTGCAGCCAACCTCAAATTCTGTAGAACTTTGCAGGAATTATGAATATGTCATGTATGTCCTATCTGTGAAATTTAAACGTTAGCAGTGTCCTCATATTCAAATTATTCAAGGAAACCTGTTTACTTGCTAGACTTCACTGTCAGACACTAATGAGTGACTGACTGGCTTTTTTTCTTCTTTAGCAATAACATACATGAAAAGAGTTGTAAAGGGTACATGAGCATCTGTCTACATCAATAACCCACTTCTTGTGATGGCGAAGATTAAACTGATTGAATCTTGCACAGCATAAAACGTATGACCATTCGGTACAATTGTCTGAAAATCAAGATTATTACTTTTGGGCTCTATAGCCCTAAAGTCGATTTGACAACTAATAGTCATTATTTTCCCACTTGAAGACATTTTCAAGCCCTACCTTTTTTAGGGAAGTTCTAAATTAGTATTATCTTTCAAATGCAGTTGGAATTTAACTTTTTCATTTTTTGGCCTGCAAAAGGGACATAGTACATGTACTTTTAACACAAGTAAATACCCACTCTACCCCTGAAGGAGTATTTCTAGAGTTATTTTGAATTTTCATGGCAGGCCGGGTGATGGCAAACAAAGGCAGACAATAGACTTTTGCCTACCTTCTATCAGGGGTGACAGTGAGCACTAAAAAAAAGAAATTGCCCTCACCATGCCCCCCTCGAGTAAAAAAAAAATTATAAAAAATTTGGGAAACTGATTTAAATTGGGTAATAATCAGGCTTGCTTCTATGCAAATGAAGTGGATTCGACCCCACCCCCCCCCCCCCTCGACTTAATAAGGAAAGCCTACTGACTCATCTACTATGAAGCTCAACAGAAGGACAATGGAAAAATTATTATCACCAAGAATGACTTTCATCTTCAGCATCTCAAAGATTAAAATCACTTATCATAATATTCATATACATAAAGTCATAATAGCAACATGTAGTGTGAGGGGCCACAAATTCAGAAATCAGTTATATAATAATTTTTTTTCCTTCACCCTTGTATTATAATTAGATCAAATAAATTTAAGTTGGGAATGTAGAAATGGAGATTGAAAGAGAATATTCTTGAGAAAGCAAGTAACCACATATTATTATTATCTACATTTAGTTTAGAGGGAGATCAATCAGTTTTATAACAGAACAAACTACTTTAAAGAAGTGACCATAATTACCTTTTCTGGTTTTTGAGCTCCCTCTCCTAGTCTATATGTAAAGCACAGTTCTGATATGCTGTCGTTCCTACAGCATTCTAACTCTCCTCTTGATCCTTTATACACTGAGAACAAAGAATGCATTCATCATCAGCCCCATGGTGCATGGAGAGAAGGACATTTTGAAAAATGAAGACATTCTCATTTACACAATTCATTTGAATACATGCCTATGCTGTCAATGACAGGTATTCTGTTTATACAGTGCAACCCAAAAAAAATGAAACCGAGAATTATCAACGTTTTATCATAACTTAAAGGTACTATGTCCCATTTGCAGGCCAAACAAATGAAAAGGTTAAATTCCAACGGCATTTGAAAGATAATACTAATTTAGAACTTCCCTAAAAAAGGTGGGGCTTGAAAATGTCTCCAAGTGGGAAAATAATGCCTTTGAGTTGTCAAATCGACTTAGGAGCTATAGAGCCAATAAGTAATAGTCTTGATTTTCAGACTATTGTACCGATTGGTCATACATTTTATGCTGCGCAAACATTCAATCAGTTTAATTTGGGCCATCACAAGAAGTGGGTTATTGATGTAGACAAATGCTCATGTACCCTTTACAGCTCATTGTATGTATGTTATTACCAAAGAAGAAAAAAAGCCAGTCAGTCACTCAATAGTGTCTGACAGTGAAGTCTAGCAAATAAACACGTTTTGTTGCATAATTTGAATATTAAGACACTGCTAACGTTTAAATTTTACAGATAGGACATACATGACATATTCATAATTCCTGCAAAGTTCTACAGAATTTGAGGTGGGCTGCAAAAGGGACATAGTACCTTTAATCACAATTATAATTGATAAATGACACATATCCTCCTCATTCATTTGATGCAACTCATATAATGCATATGAATTTGAAGAGAGGAAACCAAAATGTCATTTGGCAGGCGGTATCTGAATTTTAAAGAGAAAATCACATTTGTAGAAAGTTGAGTTTCTGCCCTTTCATATGACACCTCAATCAGGAAAATTGAGCTAGGAATTACAAAGTTCTGTTTGTTTAAAGTAGTGCTTGCATTTCCATAATTTTATTAAATGAATTCGTTTTCACTGACTGCCTGCCGTAGCAACAAACATAATTGGAAAATTAACTGTGTTTCGTTTTACAATCAGCCATGCATGAAGTCTTTCGTTTCCTCTCTTCAAATTCATTTTAATCACTCATGCGTGAAATATGCATAATATGAATTGCATCGAATGAATGAGGAGGATCTAAGCTTTCATAATATGTTTCATTTATTAATTATAAATGTGACTGATTTATGATAAAGCATCGGTAATTCTCAGTTTCGTTTTTCTGGGAAGCCAAGTCCATATAAGAAGACAGAAGATTTTCATTTTTGTATATATATACTTAATGTAAAACAATTTGCAGGGATACCATTTGGTTTTACCCAACTGGCCTGACAACATAAACCCTAGAACAGAGAGAGAGGTGTCAGGGACTGTAAAGCCTCAAAACGGACATCCCTCAATTTGGAATGGCTTGAAGAAAAGAAGAAACTAGATGGAATTTTGACTGCGCGCAGTCGAAAATGATGCCTCCGCCATAGAGCAATTTAAACAAGTTTGGAGTTTAAATCTCCAGTGGTTCTTGAGATATCATGATAACAATCTCAATGTATGGAATTTCATAAGTTGACCTCTGTGACCCTTGACCTTTGACCTACGTGCTCCAAAATCTAATCAGATTGTCTTCCTATGGTGATACACACTATCATTAAGTTTGAAGTTTAAATCTCCAGTGGTTCTTGAGATATTATGATATGGTGATACATACTATCATTAAGTTTGAAGTGAAAATTCTCCAGTGGTTCTTGAGATATTGCGATAACGATCTCAATGTATGGAATTTCATAAGTTGACCTCTGTGACCCTTGACCTTTGGGGAGGGGGATGGCCTGTACAATCACCCCCCCCCCCCAATAATTCACCATTAAAGAAAAAAAATGTAGAGAAAATTAATGAAGAGAGCCCGATGAAAGTAGTTAATGGTTATTACTCGCAAGATGACCATTAATATACACATTTTGCTATCTCATTTTCATAATACATACGTAAATGAGACAACCGTACATGAGACAAGAATAAATTGAATTCTCGCTCATACCGCTTTATCAGGAATTGATGTATTTATTCAATTTATTCAATCAACAGCATCATAGAAATGCAGTGCGCCAAATGCAAAGCCGCAGCGTTAAAAAGCAACGAGCTAGCGCGAGGCGCAAAAAAGAAGTAATAAGTGGGAGAGAGAAATAATGAGAGACAGAGAGGATACATGAGCGTAGCCAGGGGGCGGCAGGGGCGGTCGTCCCCCCCCCCCCCCCACGAAAAAAAGAGAGAGAGAGAGAGAGAGAGAAAGAAGAAATGAAGAGGACGTTGGAAGAAAAAGGATAAGAGTCGAGAACGGCACAATGAATCATCTTCTTTCTCTAATAATTTAATGAAACGTCAAAAGAAACTGAATTTAGACAAGGATTAAGAGTCGAAAACGGTACAACGATCGAATCGTCTTATTTCTCTAATTTAATGAAACATCAAAGCTTCCCACCCCACCCCCTAAGGAGCACGTGAAACGCGCTCTCTAAGTGATTGGCACGCTGTGCGTGCTCACTACCGCCCCCTAAAAGTAAAATCCTTGCTACGTGCTTGAGAGGATTATAACCCAGGTAGCAAGCCCATGTGGAACCCACATGAGTTACATATTCTCTGAAATGTTATCATTATTTAGGGTGACTTGAAAAAGTTAATAACTTGGAAGGGAGGGGGTGCAACCTGCTTTGATCCATTGCCGAAAATATTTTGGCACCTATCATCCCCCCCAACCATGGATACAAATCGACACCGTTGATAACTGAAATAGTATACAAATAATGAATGGTTATAAGTTCAATAGTGCGAATATTTTCATGAGTTGAAAGATTAACATTCTATTCAACAAGGCATCAGCCAAGTTGAATAGAATTAACATTAATCTTTCAACTCATGACAATATTCGCACTATTGAACGAATGAAAAATATTCATTATTTGTTTTATACAACATCGAAGAAGATCTAATAGAACGTTAATCAAAAATTATGCTTTACTCCTTATATTGAAGATAAATTAAAGTTGGAGTCAAGCCTTCGCGATTACATTCAGATTATCTTCGCGTCAGATACACGCAGGGATACGCGCACGGCAGAGAGGTACGCAGTCTGCATATAACCAAAAATGCACGCCCGTGCAATAGAACATCTATTGAATATGATCAACAATCCTCCAATCAAATGACAAGGATCCACATAGGTGTTGTATAAAACTGCATAATTTACAAAATGTGCCTCTTTTCTAAATAATTCCATAACTGAGGCTTCTTTTCCTCAACTAATACACATTCAATGTTTTTGTTTCAATTCACTGTCTTACTTTTGATAGCCTTGTTGAGTTGTTGCGCCTTGCCTGCTGGCATACAATGACCAAAGACTGGATAGAAGACTACTCCTCTGAGACACTGTGTCCATGTCTCTGTGTTGTAGACCGGACAGCCATTGATACTTGTTACCTGGTAGCCTGATGCAAGACCTCTCGGACCATAAACTGGAGAGTTCTGTGATGATAGAACATGAGAGGGTCAAAAGAGACTTGGTCAACATCAGTTATACACAACAAGCGAGCTCATCTAGAGGAAGGTATTGACTATCACAAAGCTTAACATCTTTTGGACCCTGTATTGTGAAAATACAGTTATATTATGAAATGTTTCACTTGCATTAAAAGCCCACTTGTAAGGGATGTGTTTCAATGCAGAGCGGTACTTATTCCGAGAATCAACATATTCATATATATATATATATATATATATATAATATATACATTATTAACATATAATCCACCTCAAATTTGCACCCTATTGGGAACAATAGGATGATCATCTCTAGTCCACCTGCATGATTCAACAATTTACATATAAATTATCAATACCATATTTACACAAGGATCATTTCCTACTTGCTTGTCAGAGGCAAATGAAAGTATTATACCATTAAAATGATCTTCAGTAAAGTGGCACCAAATCTTAATCTGAGAAGCACAAATTATTGTTAATTGAGATACTTACAGGTGAGACCTCTGTAATGACCACACCATTACCGGTCAAGTAGAGAGGGCTAAGTAGATATGGCATGGTCATCAAGACAACTACACCCCAAATGACCAGTAGAAAGTTATGCCAAACTCCTGCACAGTAGATCCTTAGCTGACCGATAGCGTTGAGTGCTTGGAGATGCTCAGTGTGGAGGTCTACAAAGGCACCAGGGTAGATCAACATCACAAACACACCAAAGCCGTTCACTCTCACATTCTCTCTAAAAGTGCAATGATATACGGAAAGAAAAGTGTACATTTTTGAAGAAAAAAAAATGAAGGAATTAAGTCTTTTGTTGATTCATTTCAAATGATAATGTCAACAGATTAAAGCAAATAAATACTTCTATACATTCTATTAAAATAAGATACAATCTCAAATAATGATATTTTCTTAAACTAAAAACTAATACCGGTAAGTCTATTCACTCTACACTCCAGTACAACCAGTTTAATTAAAAGCAAAGTAAAGCAACTTTGTGTGGCATTGATTACCTACCTGACAGCAGCTATAGCATGTCCAAGCTCATGTATGATGCCACTGATGAGAAGAACAGCAAAGAAATAAGTGATCTGATTCAATGGTAGATTCACACCAGGCATCTAAGATACATCAAAGAAATAGATTCCATGACTAATGTAAGTTGAATTGTTAATATATAATTATACAGAATAATCCTAAACATTTGGCATATGATCTTACTTATGTAAAAATGCTTTGATTCTTCGACCTACAACCTTCATCAGTAAACGTTTCCTGCAAAGCAGGATGATCTTTTGTCAGTCTTGTACTACAGTGCATCCCAGAAAAAACGAAACTGAGAATTATTGATGTTTTATCACAACCAGGGGTGATAGTGAGCACTAAAAAAAAATTATAAGTTTTTTTTTCCCTCTACCATGCCCGCCTCCAGTAAAAAAAAAGAAGAGAATTCCCGGGTGAAAAAATGGCATCGAACAACATTCCCCCTTTTGAGTAAGAAAATTGAGAATTTTTTTTGGGAAAAATAGAGAAAATAATGGACAAATCGGGAAAATTGGGATAAAATAGGGGGCAAAAAAAAAAAAAAAAAAAAATCAGGAAACCGATTTAAATCTGGTAATTATCAGGCCTGCATAACTTATCACAATTATTTTTAATAAATGACACATATTTGTAAAGCTTAGATCCTCCTCTTTCATTTGATGCAACTCATATGATGCATACTTCACGCATGAGTGATTAAAAACAATTTGAAGAGAGGAAAGTGAAAACCCAAAAGTCATTTGGCGGGCGGGATCTGAATTTCAAAGAGAAAATCACATTTCTAGAAAGTGCATTTTCTGCCCTTTCATATGACACCTTAATCAGGAAAATGAGCCAGGAATAACAAAGTTCTATTTGTTTAAAATAATGCTTGCATTTCCATAATTTGATTTAACAAATTCATTTTTACTGGCTGCCTACTGTAGCAAAAAACCGAGTTGACAAAAGACTTAACTCCGTTTCGCTGACGATCAATCATGCACAAAAAAGACGAAAGGGATTTGGTTCATCTTTTGTAAGAAGAGTGCCTGGTTATCAGGAGGACATCTTAAATACAAGTATGTTGGAAAACGCATTTTGTGTTATAGTATTAAACTCACATGCGACATTGAGAATATCTTTCTTGCTTCTCGCCAGGGATGTTCACCCTAACCCAGGCCCTTGACCTCATCCCAGTAGTAAGAGGGGTGATGAGGATATATGTAATAGGCTGTAGGGGGTATACTTCTCCACACACAGAATAAGTTTCCAGGGCAAGGGGATACCTTGCAAGAGAGTAAACAAATGCTTAAGGGGTAAGCGGGAGTGGGGGTGATGTTGATTATAAATACTAAAGAATCAGGGTTATTATTATTCTTATTATTTAGATAAGAAAAAGATTTTAGAAATAAAAAGATCAAAAATAGGATAAACAGCTACCGGCAACCGGTACCCGAATAATGAGGTGATAATCGTCCCCATTTTAGTTCAAAATTCTTTTCCCAACTCACCACTGGCGTTAGGACCTGTTCTGGTTTATCTTGTGAGAAAGCTTTGACTAACGTCATGAGGAGCAGTGCTACAGCAACAAACATCAACACCACACCAAAGCATGCACCACACGTGAACCAATATCTTAGGAGCCGAGGCTTGCACTGGCCTAGTCTTATGAAGAGACGGTTGAACTTGGTGGTGTAGCATTTGAGATGGGCGATGGACACAGACAGTCCGCAACGCTCCTGGAAGGATGTGTACTGCTCCCCACATCGTCTGTTAGTCTGAAATAGATACACGGTAGACCATAGAGTTGTACAGGAAAAATGATCCAAATTCATCATGAATATATTTTCCCCCGAAACAGAAAGAGAAAATCAACTAAGCATAATTATAATACTAAAAACGATATTAACAAATTTTGAAAAATTATAATCAAAATGGTTCTAGATCTAGACCTACTTTATTTTATATCTACATGTAGATGTGACAAAGAGTTGCAAAATTAGTGTCAAACTAACCCAGAATCTATAAAGCACAAGAAAAAGCAAGAAAAGTAAAACATTCATGGCCGACAATAAATAAAACTAGATGGAATTCGACTGCGCGCAGTCGAAAATGATGCCTCCGTCATAGAGCAATTTTACAAACCGAAACGGAAGAAATTTTTCAAATTCAAGTTCAATTGTAATCCATTAACATGTTCTCAGAATATCGTGATTACAAGCAATTTCTCATATACATATATGACCCTTTGATCTTTGACCTCATGACCCTAAAATCTACTCAGTTCATTGGCTCTGCAAGATTTCCTGAGTTAAATAGTAATCCATCTGTCAGTTCTAATGAGAATGCGTCCACAAGCTATTTTTGCATACATAATGAGCCCATGACCTTTGATCTTATGAACCATTCATTGGCTCTGCAAGATACATAAATGATCTAAGTTTGGCAGGAATCCATCAATCTGTTCTAATGATAATACGATCACAAGCTATTTTTGCATACATAATGAGCCGCATGACCTTGACCTTTACCTCATGACCCCAAAATCTAATCAGTTCATCAGCTCTGCAAGTAACATACATGACCTAAGTTTGGCAGGAATCCATCAATCGGTTCTTCAGATAACGCGATCACAAGCTGTTTTTGCATACATAATGAGCCCTGTGACATTTGACCTTTGACCTCGTGACCCCAAAATCTAATCAGTTCATCAGCTCTGCAAGATACTTCCATGACCAAAGTTTGGCAGGAATCCATCAATCGGTTGTTCAGATAACGCGATCACAAGCTGTTTTTGCATACATAATGAGCCCTGTGACCTTTGACCTTTGACCTCGTGACCCAAAATGTAATCAGATTGTTTTCCTATAGTGATACACACTATCACTAAGTTTGAAGTTTAAATCTCCAGTGGTTCTTGAGTTATCATGATAACAATCTCAATGTATGGAATTTCATAAGTTGACCTCTGTGACCCTTGACCTTTGACATACGTGCTCCAAAATCTAATCAGATCGTCTTCCTATGGTGATACATACTATCCTTAAGTTTGAAGTTTAAATCTCAAATGGTTCTTGAGATATCGCGCTAACAAACTCAATACAAGGAATTTCATAAGTTGACCTCTGTGACCTGTGACCTTTGACCTACGTACTCCAAAATCTAATCAGATCGTCTTCCTATGGTGATAAATACTATTCCCGAGTCTTAAGTTTAAATCTTAAATGGTTCTTGAGATATTGTGATAACGGTCAAACGGGACGGACGGACGGACGTACGGACGGACGGACGTACGGACGGACGTACGGACGGACGTACGGACGTACGGACGGACAACCCGAAAACATGATGCCTCCGGCACCACCTTCGGTGGCGGAGGCATAAAAATTAACAAAGCATTTTTTTTTTTGGTCCCGTTATTTGTTGGCGGGAGGTTTTTACATAAACCGGGGACTTTACATCGAAGCTGGAGAGAGGGAGGAAAGGCGTGCTGGCGGGAGTCTCCTGCTACGAGCTAAGTATTGGGACGGCGGGACAATGGGTGTGTGGCGTGAGACTCCCTCCAAATGCGGGAGGGTTGACAGCCCTGCAAAAAGTGTTCAATAGTGAATAGAGAGAAAATTGGTTGATTGACAAGGCCGTTCATGGTCATGATGGGCGACCCAGCGCCCAGGCCAAGTTGATCATATTGCAATATTAAAGCTAGACCGAAAGCTTCAGTCTCTATACCGTCGGTTGTTCCACTGAGACTACGTCTGGCTCCACTAGACCTCCGGTTATAGAGACAGAACGATCGCCTATGCCAGCCTATGTTGAAGATATCACGGCTAGATTTTAGCCGTTAGGCCCCTCCCACAAACATGAACAAACTTGCCACGGCCGTATTGTTATGCCCCCAAAATCCCCCAAAATGTCATTTTACCTCGTGCATATCCAATTTTACATTAGGCCTAACGTCACCTACCGTTTAGTCGCCACTCCATTGATTCGCCACATGCTACGTCATATATACACTCGACACCTATCCACACAAAATTAAGAGCCGCGTAGGTCTCAAAGACTAGGTAAGTAAAAAGTTAAGAAATATCGCTACGCCTTGGTGCCTCGTCCTTTTTTAGTGGGCGGGAATAATTTATGCCGTAGGCGGGTACCGTTTGTGTATTATGCATACACACATACGACACACACAACGGGCGCTGCATGGGCGACAGTCTAGACGACTTCCGGTCTCTCACAGCCGTGAACCCCATATTCCAACGTGAGTACTGAATACCTATTATCATATTATAATTGAATAGCCCTGGCACGGTTTTATTCCATTCTTGGTAACTGAGACCTCCCAAATAAGGAGAAAGTGGGAGTGGCAGATTAACAATGGCTCGTGCTTCAGTCATTGGCGAATCAACGATAGTGCTGGCGAATGCTGATCTGCGTGCATTTACTATGCATTACGTTGTAGTCATTCATGCAGTGCAGTATATGTTGGGCATTTGAGCTTGCCCATTTTTGTATGGGGTGCTCACGTAATTTATAGAATGTTTTTATCCATTTCAATGATATTAAGTCAAATATTATTGGGCCTAATTTAATATCCATCTCACGAATTGTGTGAATAATAAAGAAATATGGATATTATAGACGACTGAATGGAATTAATTTGTGCCTCATAATTGGAAGTTTATAATGTTGTGTTAATACAGAAGTGAACTCTGTGAATGTGTGTGTGATCGGTGATGATATCGAATGAGGGATTAATGGGGGGCGGGGGAGGGGGCGGGGTATAGGTAGGGTATTTTTTTTACAACGGTGGAACTTGGTGAAAGCGTGTGATTACTAGTTTATCTTCAAGGAGAGGTTTTAGATGTGGATTAATTATATTTCAGGACGCAGATAAGGGATGGAATTATGAAAATATGTGCGTGAAAGGTTTTTTTTAGGGAAAGGGAATTATGAAAGTTACAAATGGATATTAATAATGCAAGTATAATATTGTCTTCTGTACAGGTGAAGCTGTAACCCTAATACAGGCGTCTGGCCTTTTCCTTTGGCGTAACTGTTAGGTCTTTATGCGAAGTATTAAAGCCAGTTGATAGACCCTCATTGATTGGATTTCACATTTCCCCTTTCAGGTAGGATGGAGTATGCCATACATATTTCAGTATATTGCTGCTAAATGGAAAATGATTTACCCACTTGCTTCCAAAATTCATATTCGCTTTCTAATTTTCCAGCATCATTAGATTGAGTCACAAGACTCGTCCATATCAATTTAATTATTTTGGAACTGGATGAAATGCATTCAAATTCTACAAAATATACTCTTCTATCAATATTATACATCATGTAATTAATTTCCAATTTATATGAATAGTTATTAACTAGACAAGCTTAACCTTATAATTTAATCTTTTTAATAAGCTCCTCATTTCATACGTCATATACAAAATTGTCTTTCCTGTAATTGGTCTAGAGACATTTATCAATATAATTTTCATATTCAATTCCGTAAGAAGAAAATCTTAATGTTCAATCATGTAGTTATTATCCATACTATAATGTTTGCTTCATAACATGAATAAAAACAAATAGAACTAAATTTAATTTATTGAATTTTCATCTGGTATTTTTTTGATGAAATCTTGTATTTGACACATATCGTATGAGAGACCGTTGAGACATTGGTGATTGATGGGTGTAGAAATATGCTCAAGCTGACCACCGCATCACTTTGAGGAATTTAGTTACTGGTTAGGTTAGAGGATTATACCCTCTTTGCCTTTACTATACTGTGCTGGGTAGCACGTGACTACAGTTGTCTAAACTAGTCTCATTGTGGTAGATGTATCTTTCCTCTTTGATATATTATTGCAGATGAATGTACACGCACCTTTCCCTGAAGTGTCTCTACTCTCTACTATTCTCTCATTTTGTTTCGAATTCTATCCCATAATCATATTGCTGTTAAGTTAAAATGTCAAAATGCATTATTTTTCTCTTTCAGCTGCATGTCTTTAACGCATTCTGTGTTCTTTCTTTTTCATCTCAATCTTTTCTTTCATGAATATATTTTTATCTTTATATGCTTTTCAATATATTATTTTGAAAAAAAAATTAACCTTTTTATTATATTGATTTTCACCGTTTATTATTTCTCTATTTGGCTGATACCCTTTCAACATACAATTTATTTTTGCTGGTGATTGCATACTTAAACCTTCAGCCATGCCTGGCAAAAGGACTTCTAAGTACAGGTCATGGTCAGCTGAGGACATGCAAATTGCATATGATGACGTTACACAGCATGGAATCCCCATTTCTGTCGCGGCAAGGGACAATAATGTTCCTAGAAGGTCTCTTGGCGACAGGGTGCACGGAAAAGTAAAGATGGATGCCAGAATGGGAGCGGCTACGAAATTGCCCGAAGCGATAGAAAGGGATTTGATTACTGTCATCGACTACATGGCATCAAAGGCCATACCGATGACAATAAATCAAATCATGCTACAGGCATGGGTACTTGATAAGAAGTGCGGTGGAAAGAAGTTTGGCGTGAACGGCCCAAGTTACAACTGGTGGATTCGATTTAGAAAGGCATATCCAGAGACTGCCCTCAAGCTGAGGAGGCCCGATCGGCTAGACAGGGCAAGGATCACAAGCTCAACGGTAGACAATCTCCGGGAGTACTTCCAGCTTCTAAAGGGCATTTTGCATCGGTATAATTTAATGGACAAGCCCGAGAGGATCTACAACGCTGATGAAACGATGGTAGATCTGAACAAATCAACGCAGAGGGTGGTGGTGCCTGCAAGACACAGGCATGCTCATTCAACGACTGTGGCTGGAAGCCAGCATGTTTCAATGATGTGTTGTGTTTCTGCATCAGGTGCAGTTATGCCACCTAACATTATATTCAAGGATGCTTTCCCAGGTGGAGACTATACGAGAGACGGGCCTGACAACTGTCTATACTCCAAGTCGGACAGCGGGTTCATTGACGGGGAGTTGATGAGAGGCTGGTTTCAGAAAGTATTCCTCAAACACTGCCCACAAGACCGAAGTGAAGATAACCCAGTGCTACTGATTCAAGACGGCCACGCCTCGCATCATGACCCGCTGCTCATCCTCAAGGCGATCGAGGAGCATGTCATCCTCCTGGAGCTGGTTCCACACACGACCCACCTCTGCCAGCCGTTAGATGTCTGCGTGTACAAGTCCTTAAAGAGTAACATCGGGCGCTTCATTAAGATTGGACAGGCTCTGCGAGGATCGCTTTGGATCCCGAAGAAGGAGTTCCCAAGGCTGCTGAGAACGCCATTTGAGAAGTCTATGACCATCCACAACATAAAGCAGGGTTTCAGGAAATGTGGAATTTACCCGTTCAACCCTAATGCTATCGACAAGGATCAGCTCGTGAGATCTAGGTTAATACCCTCGACAGATGTGGATTTGGCGGCCCCTCCTGTGTACAGGTATGCGGATGCTGCCACTCAGGTTGAGGTAGGTGATCCGGCTGTGCAAGTACCAGTACAAGTGCCAGTAGAAGAGCCAGAACAAGTTCCAGTGCGAAGACAAGGCAGACAGCTTGTAGTTGCAGAAGTACACAGGGGTCAAGATCAAGAAGACTTAGATGAAGGAGACTTAGAGCAACACGAACAACCAGAACCAGAACATGAGGAAATTCAGGTAGAGCGTCCTGCACGCAGCGATGTATATGAGAACCCCCTTGTAAAGTTTGGTGTGGTTTCACCCGAGGTCGCTGAAGTCTTCTACCCTGCAGAGGAAGTGATTCCAGCTGGTAGAAAGGTCGCTGTGAGGGGAAGAAGCAAAGCCCGCATCCTTACTTCTGCAGAAGCCAAGGAACATTACATTAAAGAACTACGACGAGTCGAAGAAGCACAGGAGAAGAAAGAAGAGAGGAAGAGAAAAAGAGCTCAAGCCCAGGAAGAGCGTAGGAAGAGAAAAGAAGAGAAGGACAAGAACAAGGCGAAGAAGACAAAGAGAGCAGCAAAGAAGACGACGGAACGAACAGCAACACTACTGCAAGAGGAAGAATCACAGATAGAGACCCAAGAGATAGACGAGGAGGAAGAAGAAGTTCTAACAGATGAAGAGATTGAAGAGATGGACATTTCAGACGAAGAAGAACAGAAGGAGGACAGGAAGGAAGATTATTGTTGTGTTTGTGGGTCATATTTTTATGACGAGGCTCCGAGAGAGCAGAAAAGATGGGCAGGTTGTTCGTTCGCAAATTGCGATAGTTGGTGTTGTCGAGTGTGTTTGCCAGATAAGTTCGACTATGACTCCGACTACTTTTGTGATGATCACCAACTGGCCTCAGTTGGAAAGCGGGTCCGTGTTGAGCTTTAGAGTTAGACATAGTTAGATGTTATATATCTATTGTAAATAAATATAATGCTGGAAGAGAGGCCATATTGGTTGACCCCCAGGTTTTTTTGTTTTTATTTTAAAATTCTAATTCTTATTATGATTGTCTTTGTCGTTACTAATCAAATAATTGCGCACGTATCATCCGTGTTGAGCTTTAGAGTTATACATAGTTAGATGTTATATATCTATTGTAAATAAATATAATGCTGGAAGAGAGGCCATATTGGTTGACCCCCAGGTTTTTTTGTTTTTATTTTAAAATTCTAATTCTTATTATGATTATCTTTGTCGTTACTAATCAAATAATTGCGCACGTATCATAATTCGAATTAAAGTGTACAGAAAAAGATTAATGGAATAAAGACCATCCTTATGTTTGTAGTGCTAAGCGTAATACTTGTAACATTTTTCCTATAACTTTTTAAATAGTGGATAATAAAGCATCTAAAATGATGTTGACGATTGTAGACATACTGTATTGCAGTAATCCTATACAGGGTTTATTTCTGGTCACAAATTAAATGTTTGTTGGCGTTGTTGTCATGCATTCCTGTGTTACTAATTTGTAACATTACTGTGGTCTCTCTGCAGTTCTCCTGAACGCAACTTTTTCCATCCGATTTCACTTATTAATGTTTTCTCTGGCAACTCAAAGCGCGAGGCAAGATCAATCAGCTAGCTCCAAGCTTTATCAAGAATTTTCTTACATTCAAATAACTAATACATTTGTGATTTAATTTTTTACATGAAAGTTTCAAAAATGATCTGCAGACAATCTAAATGATGTACAGTGTATATAATGTATATTTTGTTCAGCGGGATGATACATGTACGTCCTCAGCTGTAAAATGAAATGTTTAGATAATGCACAGACATGAGTTGTTGTTTTTTTTTCAGCAGGTGTTATAAACGAATCCGTCCATTCCTGACTTTGTATTCTGAAACATGGAAATATATCAACAGGACGAGATACAACCTTCGTCGTATGATAAATTAATGCAGCATTGAATTTGGGGGACAAATAGTTCTCTCAGAGTATTATAGGTACATTTTTGTATAATAAGGTTGTAAATAGTTGGTGTGAAATTGTCTTTTTACCGTTGGGGGCCTACGTTTCCCTTTAGGCATATTTGGCTTGAATTTAACGCTGTGTTTACAACAACAAAAAAGTTCTTGAGTTTTGTTTTTATTATGGTTCACTCCCACAAAATTTTTCATCTTGAACCTTGAAGTTCATAATAAAATAAAAGAAAGAAAGCGCACTTTCGTTGCGAAGAGTTAAACTTGGTCTATGTAATGATATTTTTTGATGAGTACGAGTGTGTCAAGACTTAGACCAAAATATGATGATACAGTTCCAATATTAATTTGAAAAAATCCAATATTCATATTCGTTTTGATTTAAGCTATACTTAACATCATACAGTTGGTATAATGTAGATCATGGATAAATCACACGCATCATCCTGGATTAAGACTAATGTAAGCCCCGAATACGATAACCAATGTTAGGGCAATAATGTGTACAGACAGACGGGAAGAGATGAGCACATGTCAAGTTATGGGCCTAATGTGTGGTTAAACATTGATTGGTTAAATCGGGCACCGATTTCTGAAGATTGGGCGTGGCCAAGCCTCGCACTGACAGCGTGGGCTGTCGCACAAGTCGGTTAGCTTATCGTGTTCAGCTTCCCCTCAAACCTCCGGACCCTGCTGCTCGAGCTACTACGAGCACTTGCTCCGTACTAGCTGTAAAACTACCAGCACGTGACATGTAATTACGTCATTAAAACCACGCCTTCTCCTATCTCTGCCACAAACGTGAAGGGCACTGGTCCGTAAGCAATCTTGATATGGGTTTGGTGTTTGATTCTGCTTCGGCAGAATATTGAATTGGGTTTTTTTTCTTCTCTCCAGCACATGTCTGGTGGTTATCTTGGAAGCTGACACAGCGATAAGAACACCACTCTTTTCAACAGAGTGTGAGTCAGAAAAAGAGCGAATGATCGAGAGGTAAAGGGAAGAATAAAGAAAACGACTGGAGAACAAGATCAGAGAGTGAAAAGGATGAATAATAGCGCAACTAAAGAGAGAGAGGAATATAGGGGAGAAGTTAGTTTGAAATAGATGCGAAGGGAAAATATTGTTCGGCAATTAGCATATATATTATTTTATTCTTTCAGTTTCTTCATTCTTCCGAATCATTCTCTTACTCTCTCTGTATTTCTATCTCTCTCTCTCTCTCTCTCCATCTCCACCTCCCTCCCATCTTTGATAAATATCTCGTGTTTGGTGTGAGAGAACGTGACAGAAAGGAGTGTTGATAGACGTTAACATCTTATCACGCCGACAACAGGATTTTCAAGATAACATTTTGACTCCACCCCTTATAGAGAACAATGGGGTTTCTTACAGCTTCGGGTATCAAATATCCGCAGCCTTATCTTACTAGTGGGCGGGGCTAGCTCACTTCGTATTGATGATTGTATAATGTAAAGACATAATAGGGAGTGATATGATGGCAATACCGACGTTGGTCGTTACGAAAGTACACTATACACAGCGTGCATGCTTTGCGTAACACGCGCCTGGTGTGAATGGCGACCAAATGAAGAGATCTCTGTTAAGTCGCCAGCCGGATATGACGTCGTTATGACGTGTCTTCTTCTTAACCTTGGGACCTCTCTACTTCATTCTGCCAAAATTATAAGGAGAAATAGTTAGCTTACAAGCAGTGCACTACGGAAATACAGACTTGTACGTGTTTTTTTCATTTTATCAAGTTATGCATTATTTGGCGACTATACAGTAGGTGACGTTAGATCTAGGCTATAATACATCGGTTCCACTTACTAACTTGATTGAAATAATCCGTTTAATGGTCCCTTTTAAGGAAATTATGGGTCAAAATCGACATCCATGTTGAAAATCTTGCAAGCCATGTTAAACTCTCGCTGCCGTCAATCTCATCCCTTCTAGTCTACGCCGAAGGCAAAAATGATTATGAAGGAAAAACTGTGCGCCATCTAGTGATCTACACGTTCGTATTGGCGTCATCACAGTTTTTAGCCGTGATATCTTCAACATAGGCTGGCATAGGCGATCGTTCTGTCTCTATAACCGGAGGTCTAGTGGAGCCAGACGTAGTCTCTGTGGAACAACCGACGGTATAGAGACTGAAGCTTTCGGTCTATATTAAAGCATGATAAGTCAAGTGCAAATTTATTGCGACCTTTATCTGAAGCTTTATGGCTTCAAATCATGTGTAGACCCTAGATCTAAAATAATCTTGTACAGACTCTTTCACTGACTCACCTTCAGATATGTATCAGCAAGATATAAGGACGACCAGAAACCTAGAAGCATCGCAATCCATGTTGTCCGAAGCATGTTGTGTTTTTATTTGACGAGATGCTCCTGATCAAAACAAAGATTGATTGTGAAAATCTCCCGCATGCATTCACTGCAGTCATGTGTTCAACACACAGTAACGCGGGGACGTCTCTGTTCCTCCAGTTTCCATTCGTCTTTCATTCCTTTCTTGAAATGTATACATGTATTTGATACACTGATAATATCTTATTACTGGTCACCCTCAAAATACTTTGATGACTGCATGCAAGGAATCTGTTAAAAACTAGAATTTCAGGAAAATATTTTCGCTGTAGACATGCTTTCATGTTCAGCGCAGCTGATCACCGACGCTTGATTTGATTAGTCTACTTCCAGACAAATGAAATTATTTTTGGTGCCAAGCCGGTAGATTTTATTTCCTATCTGTAACTTGAATAATCTCTATGCCCCAAAAGGCAAAGCCAAGGTAGAGATGATATACTAATACAAGCGATCTCATTTATCCTGCTCTACTTGTTAGGAAACCCAGACATGTTTTCAAATATTGTGACCAGAATTGTACAGCTCCTCTTTCCACTTAATCCTCTCAAGATCTCCCTCTCAGTCTTTGCCCCAAATACGATATTTATTTCAAGTTCTAAATGACAAACTTTCGTTTGCAGATGCATACTCGCCTCGTATATTGTAATGGATAAAATAAAACAACATTTTTGTTATTAACAGGGAAGCCAGTTAGAACCGATCAGAGGGCCTGAAAATCACCTAGAATGAGCTATTTTGTATTTTGCTGTTCAATTGTAGTTTTGAAATAGTTAACAAAGTTACAACAGTGCTGTTTTTTTTACTTACTGTTTTCTTCATTTTGTTAAAAGCTTTATCGTCTTATCATTTATAACAGTAACACAGCTTCTGAAAGATTTCACATAACTTACTTTTACTCTCACTCAAAGACAATGGTGTTTATCTGAACTAAGACTAACTCTTTTGTCTACTGATTACATCCCTGATACCAGGCACCACAATAAGATCAAAAGTAACAGAAAACTCATGTACAACTCCATGGATAAGCATTTCACTTTTCATGTATGTGTATATTTCAGATTTGAGCCCAAATTGAAAGTATTAAGTACAAAGGAAATTTACAAGATCTCATTACATCATAAGTGTATCATTCAAAATGTACCTATGTACAAAATGGGGCAAAAGTAACTCAGTGATGTCGAGATCTTGAAATCTAGTATTTTTGCCCCGATTGTAGGCCTATTATCTTGAAATCTCAGAGTTATTTTCGCCCTAATTGTACTTTAACAATGCCTGAAATATGATCAATTCTCAAAGAGGAACTATAGAGTAATTAATCGTGAACCCCCAAATAAAATATTTTTAAAAAAAAGGATAAAAAGTACTTTGTTTTCATGGAAATGATATAGCCAATTGCACAGACAACATTCAGCTTGGATATTGTGAAGCAGTTAACTGCATGACTTTACTCTGCACAAACATGATGCCTTATTAATTAATGGGTGCAAACTGCAAAGAATTAATTTTTTTCTTTCACGATAACCAAATTGTGATGTAATTATTTTTAAGCATATAGGTCAAACGGAAATATCATAAATATCATCACACACTTAATCCTATATTCAAACATTATTTTATAAATATTGAATATATAAATAAACTTTCATATTCATTTTGTTCTTGTACAACTTATCAAATTTATCACATCAATCTGTATAACATGAATATCATATATTTACATAATTCATTGGAATAGAGTAATTTCAGTTTTCTGGTGGAAATCATTATTTAATACTTATTTGTTAAGCTTGAGGAATAGCAATCAACAAAACTGTCTTATCCTACAGCTCCACGTATCAGAATAATCTTTTGCCAGCCAGCTAGGTATAGTTAGTGTCTTCATCTTCCTCTCTTATTTCATGTATTTAAGACATGCTTGTAAACATCATTGTAAACATCTTAAACAGAAGTCTATCATCTTAGGGTGTGTAGACTTTCTTGTTGAGAGCATTTTCAATTATAAACTGAATTTGTTTTCAATAGGTGAAACAATATTTCTCAATAACTTTTGTTAATATTTTAGTGTATGATAAAGAATACCATAATAGCAGCAATGAAATCTTCTAAAACTATCCTGTGGTACTAACATCTTGTAACACTGAAAAATGCATGGAACAAGAGCAATAGATGTGGCAGACAAAAAACTGACAACAGAAGAAAAAGGAAAGGAGTATTGAATAGAAAAGAGCAGAAAATGAAGTAAAAGGTGAAACAAGAAAATTGATAAAGAAAGATGTGTTATGCCTCAGAGCAAGAGTCCAGACAATGGGCTTCACATGAAAACATGACCAGACCATATCAATGTGTTCATACTGCTGAATATGGCTTTCATCTTCAAGTCCCTAGGATAGGACTTAAAGCAGTGGGTCTATTGAAGCTTACATATAAACATATATTGGCTTTTGTGGCACTCACATCAAATAAAAAAATAATTCAAGATTTAAAAATATTTCAGAAAAAGAGCCATAGCATAGAGAAATTCAAATAGCACTGTTTAGCAGAGAAAATTCAAATGAATGGTTAGCGTGCACCAGTAAAAATATCTTCATTAATCTTCACAGCAAACTGTTATAGCACTCAGATATATGGAAGTCCCCCCCCCCCCCCCAAAAAAAAAAAAAAAAAAAAAAGACAAACAACCGCCCAATATTTGTGCAAGTGTGTGGCAAACACAAACAACCGCCCAATATTTGTGCAAGTGTGTGGCAAACACAAACAAGCGACCAATATTTGTGCGCGTGTGTGGCAAACGTGAGCACAGCAATAATGAGGAAGTTATCAATTGAAAAACTTCAAATACTTGTATCATATTTTTCACCCTATAGCACCATTTTTTAATATTTTGTGTTAAAAAAAACTTCTCTATACTAACAAACTAGGCCTTTGCTTTACATACAACTTTAACTTTCTATGAAAAAAAAAATAGGTTTAGGGGAACAATTATAAAAAGTGACATAAAATAACATACATGTAATCCAAGAAATACCTGTCCATCAAAATCACTCAGCAAATTTCACCTTAGATTTCTTGTTCACTTGTCAATCTATAATCATAATAATTATGCTGAATAAATCATATCTTTCTCAACAGTTTAGTAAATGGGGCACAATATGACTATACTCATCTACAAATAGAGACATACAGTTTAGCTTAAGTATTGTAGTATGTTCCATCTCTATCTCTAACTTACTACTTCTGATTGTGTTAATGTGAATCCTACATGCAGATTTGTGATGTGGCCTAAATATACAATCATACATGTACATAATAAGATGAGTCACTGTATTTTCCATTTTACTCCAATTTTTATAGCATGCGAGATCACAATAAACTCTAATTCAAACACATAATCAACTCTGAATGCATGAATGAGATAGGGAATAGAAGAACATTCCTTACTCTTGTTGACTTTAATTACCTTTATAAGGACACAGAGGAAGGTATACTTCACCTGAAAGGGCTAGAATTCCAGCTCTGTCCTTGACAATGAACAAATATGTGAATGCACCACATTTTCACACCAATGCCAATAAAATAATCAACGAAATAATCATCCATTAAATCTTTACTTTCTCATCCTTTCATGGATTGAATCTCTGATTTTCTTATTTTCACCAGATAGAATTTGCTATATAAGTTGTGCTTCCTCATGGGCAATAACAAGTTACACCGAGCTGCTTTGGAAAGAAAATAATCAATCACAGGTCGAGAGTAACAACGAGACATTGGATGGGTGGACTGTATAAATGATGAAATATCTAATATATACTAATAATAATATAATAATAATATACACTAATATATATGATATTAAAACTAAAAACAAAAAAACAGTGGAGCAATAAAAATAGAAGACAGAAATATCTTTTATCCCCTTCTTTAATCTGGAGTAGTAACATCCTATTAGCACTTGACCTAGACGGTATTTAGTGATTACATATATCTTAAAACCCTGACTGAAATGTTGATTACTATATTGTGTAGATGGAATGGAACCATACAACCAACATACTTAACAGCACAAAGCAGCTATAACCTTGCAGCATAGATGATATCAAAGATATACAAATCTGTCCTTTTATCAAATATAAATAGTAAATGTTGCATCTTACTTTCATTACAAATTTAGAAAACTGGTAACTTCCTGAGCTGCATGTAAAGTTAATGATGCTGTATTTCTTGTTCTCTTTATGTTGGTGAGATTTCATGTGAGTCCATGACTCAGTCAAGGCTTCTCAGTTCTCTCTACGTTCACACACGGCACAATGTCACCCTAAACTCCTGTCAATATGGGAGAGCAATCAGTCATGTCTCTTGCAACTTTTCTGCTTTCAAAACAGAACCTGGATATACAATTCCAAAGCCCTTGCCATACTAGATAGCAACAGACAATCTGTCTCATAGCCTTTTCTCCTCTTTGTATTCCAGTAGTACTTGTATGTATATGTAAGTCCAAAGCCCTTGCCGTACTGAACAGCAGCAGTAGATGGTTATGTAAGTCCAAAGCCCTTGCCGTACTGAACAGCAGCAGTAGATAGTTATGTAAGTCCAAAGCCCTTGCTGTACTGAACAGCAGCAGTAGATAGTTATGTAAGTCCAAAGCCCTTGTCGTACTGAACAGCAGCAGTAGATAGTTATGTAAGTCCAAAGCCCTTGCCGTACTGAACAGCAGCAGTAGATAGTTATGTAAGTCCAAAGCCCTTGCCGTACTGAACAGCAGCAGTAGATAGTTATGTAAGTCCAAAGCCCTTGTCGTACTGAACAGCAGCAGTAGATAGTTATGTAAGTCCAAAGCCCTTGCCGTACTGAACAGCAGCAGTAGATAGTTATGTAAGTCCAAAGCCCTTGCCGTACTGAACAGCAGCAGTAGATAGTTATGTAAGTCCAAAGCCCTTGCCGTATTGAACGGCAACGAGGAGCCTCTCTCTCAGCTTCTTCTCATCCTTGTATTCTGGAAGCAGTAGACGATTGAAGCAGGTCATGGCAGTGGGAAGGCGCTCAGAGTCGGGACCGTTTCTTTGAATTACGATAGGCAGGCTGGACAGGCCTTTAAGAGGAACCTGAATTGATTAAACAAAATATAAAAAGAAAAGTATGAGGAAAGGTAGAGTGCTTTTTCTTAAAGAGTTGTTATCAGGAAGATTTTGCTAATTCAAACGCCTCATGGTTTGAAGACTTTTTTTCAGACTTGTTTATTATTTATATGAAGATCATGCAACTGATCTCCAAACTGAGAATTATAGCAAAATTCTTTCTCAGGAAATATCTCCCGAGAAGGATGCACGCAAAGTATGAAAACAAAATTACTTGATGCATTTCGACTAACACAGATATGGAAATGTGAAATAGACTTACCCTGTCGCTTCCTGTGATGAAGTTAAGCAGTTTCTTCTTCTGTTCATTGCTAAGGGAATGAATCAATCTCCACAAAGATAACACAGTCGGGTGTTTCCTATTTGATATTGAAAGAAAGAGAACATAATTATAAAGAGCATTGATTGCATACTGTCAGTGCTGGTTATAAATTTAAATGTTAAGACCCCACAGTTATATATTTTAACGCTTGAAATATTTGATAAATGAATTGTGAAAGAAAGATTTCTAAGCTCAATATTTTGTTCATATTCCTCATGAAAGATGATAATCACATAGCACTGCCAAAAGGCTTGTTCAGATACAATGCGGCTAGTTAAACCGTTGAAGGCATTTTCAGATACAATGCGGCTAGTTAAACCGTTGAAGTTTTCTTCAGATAGGCTTGTTCAGATACAATGCGGCTAGTTAAACCGTTGAAGTTTTCTTCAGATAGGCTTGTTCAGATACAATGCGGCTAGTTAAACCGTTGAAGTTTTCTTCAGATAGGCTTGTTCAGATACAATGCGGCTAGTTATACCGTTGAAGTTTTCTTTAGATAGGCTTGTTCAGATACAATGCGGCTAGTTAAACCGTTAAGGTGTTCTTCAGATAGGCTTGTTCAGATACAATGCGGCTAGTTAAACCGTTGAAGTGTTCTTCAGATAGGCTTGTTCAGATACAATGCGGCTAGTTAAACCGTTGAAGTGTTCTTCAGATAGGCTTGTTCAGATACAATGTGGCTGGTTAAACCGTTGAAGTTTTCTTTAGATAGGCTTGTTCAGATACAATGCAGCTAGTTAAACCGTTGAAGTGTTCTTCAGATTAAGTCAACTGTAATACGCTTCATGTTTCTGTATCTTAAACACAGAGCTCAGCTGTAAATAAGCAAAAGCCCTTTTTGCCCACAGTTGCCATTCATTTTACATATAAAACACTTGTGGCAGCTTATTTTTGCGGCAGTTTACCGTGCTGTATGTTAACAAGCCTTAAGAGATTGTAAAGCAATAGTGGCATTCCTTTTAAGCACCCAAATAAGGCTAAAAATACAACAGCATAAGATGAACATGGATACGAAAGAAGGGTTTACTGAAAAGAATGGCCAGTAGTTGAGAGTTACAAAGGAAGTAATGGTTACCTGGAGAAGCCATCCTCATAGGTAGCAGAGGTCTCTAGAGCATGGAAGTCTAATACAGGACTACCACAGATGAGAAGCTCTATCTCTGAAGGTTGGAACAGCTGCAGGGCTGAGCCTCCACATACGCTGTGAAAACCTCTCGCAAAGGCCTGATGGAATAAACAAAACCTTTTAAAATGAGTCTGTAAATATTTTCTGTGACATTCATTTGGTTGCGAGGAAATTATGCCTGTTCTGCAAAATCATGAAAGTTCTCTTTAAACAAAAATTATGTTTCCATCTAAGAAAATTCAAATCTTTGTTTTGGAGTACAATCCCATTTTGTGCTACTGGTATACAAAGAAAGGGCATGGCAATGAAAAGGGGGTAAATTTTATGTATGAACAGACATAAAACCAAAATGTTTTGCAGAGAAAGAGATGTTAATAACCATCTTTGTCACAACTATCATTGTCATTAATATCAGCATATAAACTTTAATCATAATTATCAACACCCTGAATTTATTTATAAATCATATCACCGAACATGTACAGTACCATCGCACAGCTGACCAATATCTCTCAGTCAACTGTCGGCAGATACAGTGGACCATGAAAGTCCTTTCTATCTGTGGCCTGTATAACCACACTAAGGCATTACTTAGCCTGTGGGTAAACATATAAGCCACAAGGTATCATCTTAGTACAACTAAATATTAACTTTATAAACCTCTGAAATTGTTTTAATTGTTAGTTTTATTTCAATCACCTACCTCAAACTGTCTTGCAATGCTATCTATCAGTAAATGCTTCACATATAACCGTGCATACTCCTCTTGATTCTGAAATGTAACACACAAGATAGATTCAATAAATCAAAACAGAAAAATACATCTCAAAGTTGGGTAACTGAATACTCCTTTCACTCTCCATAAAGTCTCCAAACATTAGGAGCTCGGGCCATGATATTTCTTTTTTGGCATATATACTCCATATAAGAATGGGCCTTTAAGAAAGGATACACTCAGTAACTTTGTTCAGGTAATTTTAAAATAAATATTAACACCTAGTAACACTTCATAGACATTTCGCTGCATTCACTGCAGTGTTATTAAACTCTAAATCAATATTGATTCTTTTTAACATTTTCACTTGGTTGCTAGTGGTTATTTAACATTAAAATAGTTTGAAGACAAATGAGAAAAGACGTACTTGGTTTGTTACTGGAATTTGCGAGCCATGAAGAACCAAGTCAACAGTTAAAATATCACCCATTGATAAATAAGAAACCTGCAAAGAAATGAAAAAAAAAGTTTCCATACAACACAGAATTGCGATATGATATTGGAACCAGAGGCTACATCACCAGCAACAATGACATTACATTTAATTCAGTGCCTTACAACAAAATAATTCCATATAATTTGTATTACTCTAACATCTGGCTATCACTATTCATGAACAAGTATGTATTGATAGAATGTACAGTACCATCGCACAGCTGATCGATATCTCTCAGTCAACTGTCGGCAGATACAGTGGACCATGAAAGTCCTTTCTATCTGTGGCCTGTATAACCACACTAAGGCATTACTTAGCCAGTGGGTAAACATATAAGCCACATGTTGGTATATATCATTAAATCAACATGAATCTAGCAAATACACACAGAATACATCAAATACTCAATAAGTACCGGTAGTAATAGTGATTCAGTCCAATACATGCATGTGATACATGTTTTGCTTTGATCTCATTTACTAAACTAACCTCAATGACATTTTATCTAATCTAACAGTTTGTGTAGACACCCAATCATTCAGAAATAAAGATATTAATGATAACTTACATATTCTATGAATGATCACCATAATCAGATTTAAAGTCCTAAAACACATCATTGGATTAATGTATTTACCTAAACCCCTTTGGTACATTAAAGGTAATACAAAGTTATGGTATGGGGTCATGAATTTTGTTCAAATGAACATATTGGACGCATATGCAGTCCTACAATATTCAGTGATCGTTGTCGCGGTTGAAATCGAGTCTAAAGTTATGAAATTGTAAATAATAAACTTTTCATATCACAAATTATATATCACAACTACATATTCTGAGATTTTCATTGTCGCAGCTACCATTGTACGGCCGTAGACGCTATTTGAAATTTATCAAAATTTACCGGGAGCACCGGTAAATTTTTATAGTCAATTTTTCTCGGAAGCAGAAGTGTTTTAGGGGCTAAATTTTCTAGTGCTTATAATACATCAACAGGGCCATCCAAATATATCAAAATTGTAAAGAATCACTATCCACCCAAATTTAAAAATTTCCCAAAACTTTGTATTACCTTTAATATATTGTCTAAATTATATCACACTGATTTTTGAAATACAGTTCTGATTCTTGGAAAGGATTATTGAATCCACACAATAGTGAATCCTGTCTCACACAAGGTATATGATGTAAGGCCTAAAACAAAAAAATGTTGTATTGCCCTTTGCGACCGACCAAAAAATCTTAAAATCTACGGTCAGCTTTTTAAAAAAGATATTATTTTTTTTACCAATTTTTTATTTTAAAAATGTATTAAAGCATTAAAACTGAGAAAAATCAGCCCAAAGAGAGAGTAAAAAAAAAAAGGGTTTCCGACCGACCCATGTTTTGACACCTAAAGGGCAATACAAGATTATTTTTTTAGGCCTAATCTTCCATAGTTTTTAATGTATATATCCGACACAATCTCACTAAGTTACCTGGAATGTTTGACAGAACACATCCTCTACATCTCCCTCATACTCCAGCATCTCTCTGATGCCCCGCCCCAGGGACGGCTGCACCCCTATCAGGTCTTCCAGGGTCATGGGATCTTCATGGAGCTTCTTATAGATGGCCATAGGGAAATTCACATCTAGGATGATACCGTTGTAGATTGCTAGGCCAAGCAGGGTGCCTACCAGCTCAAACTCATCGTCAGAATCTGTAGAGCCTTCTGATCCTGAAAGTGTAAGACAATGACATGTTTAGACGACACAAGCAATACCGAGCCGGGTGAAAGTGACAAATGTGTGACAACTAGACGGCCAGAGAAAACATTGAGAGGATGAGCATAAAGGGCATCTATCAACCTTGTACCATTGTGTGGCGTCTATCCAGACCTGCCAACCTCTGGAGTTCAAAAACTGCATTCTTTAATCCCAAAGTTGTTTTTTACTGACAAAAGTTGTATTCTTAAAAAAAACATGGACTGTTACGCGGATCAATGCCTCTTACAGTTCCTACATACAGGAACATTTTTTTTATGGATCATTGGTTGAATATGCATGATTTCGTCATCAATGAACCAATGAACATCCCCAAATTGCAGATGTGAGATGCTTGTAGGATACTTTACAGGACAGAATGGGCATTTTGCCATTGGAAATGGCACACACACACGCGTTTTTTAATTATTTTTTTAAATCATATTTTATTGAGCAAAATCATACTGTTGTATTTGCTTCTAAAAATTGTATGAAATACGACTAAATCGTACTGGTTGGCAGGTCTGTCTATCATACCCATAGGCTTAATACGCGAGCCACTCGGTTCCTGTTGGTAATGGGTTCACAATTGTGTACTAAATTAAAAAGTTTGTCCCAAACCAGAAAATAATTGTTAGCGGAGCTACGACCGAACATTCACATTGGTCCTACAAATACCTTCTCATTGGATTTACACTGTTGATCTTAAAGGGAGTGTATCATGGCAAATACTGGTTAACGCTATCTACATGTACGTCTTCTTTTGGACAACTGCACATAAACGAATGGACTAGATTAACTGGGTCAGGGCGAGCTAGCATTCGCGAAACAGACCGAAGTTCTTCTCAGGTTTTGTTTTCGCATATGTTGCACGCATGTGAATGCTGCGGTCGCGTCGTCCGTATTCGTATTATACCCGATTGGCCCCGAGTAGGGCCACAGGACACATAGTCTCGTCATGATATACTCCCTTTAAGAGCATACCATTCTTGCAATGCACATAGAAGCACATTTCTATCCATATTGGTCACTTTGGGCACTATTAAAAGCACTCTACCTTAAACGTATTATTTGAAGCATTAGTTTTCTCGATGTCCCTCAGAGTGCATAATATGTTGTATCAAAATCTTCATAATGTACATAATGAGAAGGCAATAGAAGTAACTAGGCGTTGTGGCGTGCGCCTGTAATCCAGCTAACAGTGGAAGTTACAAACTGATTCAGCCGAGGACGCAGGTTCGAAGCTGAGTCACGTCTTTCGGATGGTGACGTTTAAAGGTCGGTCCCCAGACATAAATAATCATATCTGATTGATAAACGTCTGTAAAAACCCAATACACACACACACAGTAACATGTTTGTCCTACCATTGATCCATATTGTCCTGTTCTCGGAGGAGCTAACAAACATGCCATAGCTGGGATTGAAGACTGCTTCAGAGATAAGCTGAAAGAATTCTTTCTGAAGACCACCCATGTCCAAACCCTGATAACAGAAAGAACAAAACATACAGAACATAGAATAATTCAATCAATTCAATTTTATTTCATTCAGTTAAAAAGAAAAAACATTTTATGTAACAATCATATATATAACATAAAATATGCATTAAGAACATTTTGGACAAGGACATAATGGTGCAACACATTATAAAAACAATATAATTTGCTTTATATATAAATGGCGGTAATGCATAAATGTGGCTTTAGGAGGGGTGAAAAAAAATATGAAGCTTTAACAGTATTTAAAGACTGAGGCAGTACCTGAATTAGAGCAATGAATTTACTCTATCATACATGAAAATAAGAATTCACCTTTTATCAAGAAAATAAAATCTATTTCAATGCTTTACAGTTGTAGCCTTAGAACATATAAGTCCTGAATAAAGGACCAATTCACAGCACCAGAGTTTGGTTTAGTCAAGGTACTAATCATGAATTACCTGGTCATTTAAAAAAGGACTTACAGTCACAAGCCTCAACTATATACTTCAGTTCCTGAGCATTCAATGTAAAACTCCCATTAAACAGGAAACTATGATGATGATCTCACCTGTTCTCCTCCTCCGATATACTTGATCTTGAGTGGTTTCTTGAGATCATTCTTCTTGAGTCTGATCTGTGCTAGGGTATCACTGATCAGGTAGTCACGTCTTACTTCCAGGACAAGGAAGGGACACATAGCAGCCTTGATAGAATCCTTCAGGTTAGGAGTGAAACGTCTTCCATCTGTCAAGTACTTCTGTGCTTGGTTCACTCGCTGAAATAAGTAATCATATTGCGACAAAAAATTTATATCTACATTCTCATAAAAATAATTCATAAATTACATATTTGAAATAAAAACAATGTCACTTATTACTCTTACAAGAAGAACATAAAAGCATCTCAACAATGATTTTTAACTGTTGAGCTACTGAAGGTAGGTCAAGACCTTATTGAGATGATTTCACTTGTCTAGTATCCTTAATATATCTCAGAGCTTTGTCTTGGCTTTTGTGATTCAGAACTTTAACCATTACATTTTCCTACGAATGTTAAGAACTTATTGCTACTGAATCAAATCTGCTGATCTTCTTTAATTTTCAAAAGAAATGGCAATTATCACAATCAAGTAATATGTACTACAATTCACATCAAACGTTGGAAATAAAATCAGAGTTTTCCCACTCGCAAATTTTATTTATTGGTCATAAATCAAAAAGTGGAATGAGACTGCTACTCACAGCTTGATGTAGAATGGCCACCTGATATTCTTTCCTCATCTGAACCACAGCATCAAGGTGTAACACATGTACTTTGGACTGTAAAAACAACCAAAATAGAGCATTCAATATGCCAAGCAAAGCTGCATTAATACTATAAAACACTTATGGTCACTCTCAATTTGAGGACAAACACCATTAGATTGTTACATTAAATATCCACTTCTTATAAACTGTGGCTCAACATAGAGTTAGAGGGCAAAAATACCCCCATTTTTTAGGACAAGTAACCCCCAAATTCAATTACTTTACTGAAATGAATATTTATTTTCTTGTATTGAAAACAGATCAACGTCTCCTGCAGAAAACGATGATATTCCTACAAAATATATTTTTTTTTTTTAATATGATCAAAATGTAGAGGGAAGGAAAAAAGAATAAGGGAAAGGATTAGAACTAATACTGCAAATGAATGTCAACAACAAGATATAAGGAAGAGAGAAAGTATGACAAAAAAAGAGAGGAGAAAAATAGAGTAATAGAGATATAGGGAGAGAGAGAGAGGGAGAGAGAGAGGGAGATAGAGAGGGATAGGGAGAGAGAGAGAGGGAGAGAGAGAGAGGGAGAGGGATAGAGAGGATAGGGAGAGAGAGAGAGAGAGAGAAAGGGATAGAGAGGATAGGGAGAGAGAAAGAGAGAGAGAAAGGAAGAGAGAAAGTATGACAAAAAAGAGAGGAGAAAAATAGAGTAATAGAGATATAGGGAGAGAGAGAGAGGGAGAGAGAGAGAGGGAGATAGAGAGGGATAGGGAGAGAGAGAGAGGGAGAGAGAGAGAGGGAGAGGGATAGAGAGGATAGGGAGAGAGAAAGAGAGAGAGAAAGGAAGAGAGAAAGTATGACAAAAAAGAGAGGAGAAAAATAGAGTAATAGAGATATAGGGAGAAAGAGAGAGAGAGAGAGAGAGAGAGAGAAAAGGGATAGATAGGGAGAGAGAAAGAGAGAGAGAAAGGAAGAGAGAAAGTATGACAAAAAAGAGAGGAGAAAAAAAGAGTAATAGAGATATAGGGAGAGAGAGAGAGAGAGAGAGAGAGCGAGAGAGAGAGGGATAGAGAGGGAGAAAGAGAGAAAGGAAGATAGAAAGTATGACCAAAAAAGAGAGGAGAAAAAAAGAGTAATAGAGATATAGGGAGAGAGAGAGAGAGAGAGAGAGAGGGATAGAGAGGGATAGGGAGAGAGAAAGAGAGAAAGGAAGAGAGAAAGTATGACAAAAAAGAGAGGAGAAAAAAAGAGTAATAGAGATATAGGGAGAGAGAGAGAGAGAGAGAGAGAGAGAGGGATAGAGAGGGATAGGGAGAGAGAAAGAGAGAAAGGAAGATAGAAAGTATGACCAAAAAAAAAGAAAAATAGAGTAATAGAGATATAGGGAGGGAGAGAGAGAGAAAGGGATAGAGAGGGATAGGGAGAGAGAAAGAGAGAGAGAAAGGAAGAGAGAAAGTATGACAAAAAAAGAGAGGAGAAAAATAGAGTAATAGAGATATAGGGAGAGAGAGAGAGAGAGAGAGAGGGGGATAGAGAGGGATAGGGAGAGAGAAAGAGAGAGAGAAAGGAAGAGAGAAAGTATGACCAAAAAAAAAGAGAAAAATAGAGTAATAGAGATATAGGGAGAAAGAGAGAGAGAGAGAGAGAGAGAGAGAGAAAAGGGATAGATAGGGAGAGAGAAAGAGAGAGAGAAAGGAAGAGAGAAAGTATGACAAAAAAGAGAGGAGAAAAATAGAGTAATAGAGATATAGGGAGAGAGGGAGAGAGAGAGAGGGAGAGAGAGAGAGAGGATAGGGAGAGAGAAAGAGAGAGAGAAAGGAAGAGAGAAAGTATGACAAAAAAGAGAGGAGAAAAATAGAGTAATAGAGATATAGGGAGAGAGAGAGAGAGAGAGAGAGAGAGAGGGATAGAGAGGGATAGGGAGAGAGAAAGAGAGAAAGGAAGAGAGAAAGTATGACCAAAAAAAAAAGAGAAAAATAGAGTAATAGAGATATAGGGAGAGAGAAAGGGATAGAGAGGGATAGGGAGAGAGAAAGAGAGAGAGAGAAAGGAAGAGAGAAAGTATGACAAAAAAAGAGAGGAAAAAAATAGAGTAATAGAGATATAGGGAGAGAGAGAAAGAGAGAGAGAAAGGAAGAGAGAAAGTATGACCAAAAAAAAAAGAGAAAAATAGATTAATAGAGATATAGGGAGAAAGAGAGAGAGAGAGAAAAGGGATAGAGAGGGATAGGGAGAGAGAAAGAGAGAGAGAAAGGAAGAGAGAAAGTATGACCCAAAAAAAAGAGAAAAATAGATTAATAGAGATATAGGGAGAAAGTGAGAGAGAGAGAAAAGGGATAGAGAGGGATAGGGAGAGAGAAAGAGAGAGAGAAAGGAAGAGAGAAAGTATGACCAAAAAAAAAGAGAAAAATAGATTAATAGAGATATAGGGAGAAAGAGAGAGAGAAAAGGGATAATAATAATAATAATAATATGGATATTTATATAGCGCCGGTATCCGCCAGGCTCTGACGCTCATGGCGCTGTACATACATGTATTACTATCACAAAAATATAACTTCTTAACTAAAATAAAGTAAACTAAAACACAAATTATAACGCTACATTGACATGATTAGATAGCACTGTTTAGAAAGAGATGGGTTTTTAGAGCAACTTTGAAGGCATGAAGGGTAGTTAAATTACGAATACTAACTGGCAGCTTATTCCAAAGGGACGGACCAGAATGAGAAAATGCTCTATCCCCCCAGGAACTGCGCGTCTTAGGGACAACTAATAAGGAGGATTGAGATGAACGAAGATGTCTAGAGATAGAGAGGGATAGGGAGAGAGAAAGAGAGAGAGAAAGGAAGAGAGAAAGTATGACCAAAAAAAAAGAGAAAAATAGATTAATAGAGATATAGGGAGAAAGAGAGAGAGAGAGAAAAGGGATAGAGAGGGATAGGGAGAGAGAAAGAGAGAGACAGAAAGGAAGAGAGAAAGTATGACCAAAAAAAAAGAGAAAAATAAGAGTAATAGAGATATAGGGAGAGAGAGAGAGAGAGAGAGAAAGGGATAGGGAGAGAGAGAAAGAGAGAGAGAGAGGGATAGAGAGAAATAGAGAGAGAGAGAGAGAGAGAAAGATTAACTCACAGCTGGATCCAGTAGGAATGGAAAGTCAAGTAGAGATGGGACCGGTGAGAATTCATCTCTGGGTGACTGAAGAGGGAGCCCTGCTTTAAGCTGCCATCGATGATACTCTGTTTGGTAATCAAGATCCCTACAGATAATAATATGATAATGAAACACATGACATAATATGATGTTCAATATCTCTTGTGATGACAAAAACGCTTTATAACCTTTCAAAAGGTTCAATATAAGAATCTACTTGGCTTAGAATGTCCATGTACAATGAGTATGTGTCTTCATCTTACTTCAGAAACTTCATTGAAAAAAAAAAAAAGTTTTGGCAGGCATGTGGGTAATGCCTTGCACGGAACAGCAAAAGTAATCATACCATTCTGGATTCTAAATGCTTAAAACAGTAGTTTTCTTATAAAGAGATTGTTCAAGATGTGACATGCTGTAAAATGCCTTTGAATATATTACTTTTTTTCTGAAGTTCAAATATATCTGTTCACTCATTCTTCCTCATTTTGTCCTATCACTGCCTAAAGAGACCTTACATAACTAATGGGAATCATCAAACATTCTTCCCAATGTTATGGTGATGGAATGGTCTCACATAAAAGCGATAACAGCTTACCTGAAATCATTAACAATGTATCTATATCGTAGAAAATATCACAGGAGCAAACTCCAAGCCTTACAGATAGTTACCCAATGACAATTTACAGATTTCTGATACAAAATACACCAATACCTAAACTCATGTAAAGTGATTACCTTGAAAGCTGGTGACAGTAGAAATCCTCTAACTGAGCAAGGCCTTTACTGGCATCATGCTCAAGCCGGATTTGATTGGCTTTATACAGGATTTGCATTGCTATGGCAACATGAACCATGCCCTCAGATGCACTATGGTAAAAATAAGAAACAAAATATGAATCAAAATAAGTTGAAACCAGTATTAAAAAAAAATGACAGTAATGGGCTATTCAAAATACCTTTGTCCACACAATTTCATTCACCAATTATGTTGCATGTTTTGGAAGTCTTCAAAAATTACATGCAGAAAACAAACAGCACTTAGAAATGACTTAACCCTATTTAGCCCGGGGGGGGGGCTTGAGAAGCCCCCCCCTCGACATTTTTCGCGATAATTTTTTAACGCAAGAAAATCTTGCACTGAAATTTTGTGACTTTTTTCTTTCGAGTCTTGCGCAACTTTTGAAAGAAATTTTTCGAAAATCGGACCTACCATTACAAAGTCACGTGTCCTTTTGTCTTCGCATGTCAGCCCGAAAATCGCTCATTTTTGTGATTTGTGTACAAAACATATGGAAATCTCATTTTTCAAATAAAGAGGTAAAACATTGGTTATTTGGTCTTGTTTAGATTTTAGGTGTTTATTTTGGGGTCAAAATAGTTGAATTATAGTTGGAAATGAAATAAAACAACAAAAACAATAAAATACATAAGTTAAAAAAACAAAGAAATACATAAGAAATTATCAAAACAATAGATAACCTAAGGAATAACCCTGGTTTTTCAAATTTTTGTGCTGTATTATTATTCCAAATGGTCTAACAAATATATGTAGTGAGAAAGAATGCTTAAATATGAATAATGTCTGATTTATGGGCAAAAATGTGAATTTAATGACCTTATTTGCATAAATTACCATAAATATGCAAATGAGTGAATTTTTCAAAAAAATTGAAATTACCATAGTATTCTATACACTTCACTTGACATGTATGCAAATTTTCGCGGCGATCGGGCGTTTCACGGCCGAGATCATAGGGGGGGGCCTGAGAAGCCCCCCCCCGGGCTATGCAGTTTCAAAATAGCCCGGGCTAAATAGGGTTAAAACATACAAGTCATGGTAAACGGTAAAACACCTAAGAACAAAAATTGCTGCCGCAAAATGAATTGACTTAACCATAGTGGGCTTCACTTGTCGATCGATTCACCTAAAATGGTTCTTATTTTGCCACTGCCTTTTCTCTTTCTTTTAAACATGGTTTACATGGTAAAGCCTCATTAAGTTATGACAAGGTAAAGGATGGCTTTTAAAAAAAAGATGATGTAAGTGTAATATGCTTTTTTCATTCTGCTTTGCACAGTTACCATTCATTTGAACCTAAAAAATCCATGGCGGATTCTTTACTGCAGTTTACCATGGCATATCTGAATGAGCCTTAAAGGGATCCGGTAACTTTGTCTTAGATCCTTTAAACAAATCCTTGATTTAGCTCATGCTGCAATGATAATTATAAAGCTTTAGGTCAGTCAGGAGCTCCATGACTTTTACAAGCCTGTCTGATTATCAAGATATTTATGATTGAAAATCAAAGTCAAATTTTGTGTTTGATAAACGGTTTTCGTAACAATAAAGTCTATTGGGGAAAACGAGTATGGTAAAACCGGTCACTCAAAGGTTTTTACTTTTTTTGAGGCACTTCTTGATCATTTTGAAGCACAATTTTTTAGAGCTTCAATATAACACCATATTACAGACACTGATAACACGTAGGGCCGTGCATCTCACATTTTGATTTGTTAAACGACCCCTTTAATGTGTGAACGAGATTTTACCCTTCATTAGGTCTGATCATGGAGACCATGTGAGCTTTGAGGATCTTCAGGAGTCTCTGGAAGCGCTCTTTGTCCAGGTGAAGGAGGGTCTGGATCAGACTTGTCCTTGCACCAGGGACTAGTTGCTTGGCTATTATCCTGCACAGGACCTGGACCAACTCAAAGTTCAGCTCCATAAGAGGACACTCAAGGATGATCAGCAACTAAAGGTCACAACAAACATACATGGTATAGAGTTACAGTATTGATTGCTGGATGGGACAAAACAGACTAGAAATATAGGATGGGATAAGGTTATACATGGATTTATAAACAAATAAAAAGTGAAACTTTATACATTATTCTCTTATGAACAGGTAACCAGTGTAGTTGTTTAAACAAAGGAGACACATGATCATATTTTCTTGCATTTTTCTGCACGATTCTGGATTCGTTGAAGTCTAAAACAGAATATGTAGTTGTGATATATAATTTCCAAATGGGAATCGCTAATTGAATGTTATTTTGTACCACATTCATGACCCCATACCAAAACTTTGTAATACCTTTAACCACTAAATGATATCAACATTTCTTGCATTTTCAAGCTTTAGAGAAGACCTCACAGCTTACCTGGTTGATACCATGTGACTGGACCAGGGACTGGTCTAGCTTCCTAAGGAGGATCTCAAAGGTCTAAAGCACAGCTTACCTGGTTGATACCATGTGACTGGACCAGGGACTGGTCTAGCTTCCTGAGGAGGATCTCAAAGATCTAAAGCACAGCTTACCTGGTTGATACCATGTGACTGGACCAGGGACTGGTCTAGCTTCCTAAGGAGAATCTCTATGGCATTTGCTAGACAGGTCATGAATCTATCTCTAGGATGCAGGTCCCATAGGAGATTGTATGCTGTCTTTACAGCAGCCAGGTCAAGACGGCTGTAGGGGTTGTTCTCTTCCACCTGCATACAATGATCAAAATATCATAAAAACTATCTTTCAGATTTTTAGCGGAATATGCAAAAGTAGATTGTCACAAAAATGGACAGGAAATTAAGTGGCCGGGTTTTGCTGCTACAAAACATAGAGTCAATGTATCAATTAGACTCCTGCTTCTGACACAAACGTTTGGTATCACACAGTAAAGACATTGCCAACTATTGTCACACACAATGGTTTATTCATTGATATAATGAACATGTACATGTATCACAGATAAGATTTCATGACATTACTCCTGAATTATGGTCATCTTGATACAAACAAGTTCTGTCATATCAAACATCAAAAATACAGAAGAACAAAAACACCAAACATGAGATTCATTCTTCAACGTTGGGAAGGACAAGGGTCAGAAGAACATTAGAAACCTCACTGACCCTGAAGCTTGCATTGAGAGCTACATCTGACATGAAGACAGTGCGTATCGTGTTGAGAAGGAATGCATCGTCTCCACACTCCTTATACTGATCAATAATACTCTGGTGGAAAACAGGAGAAAGAAGATACATTTACAATTCAGTTGGTTGGTTTTTCCTGACTGCTAAGAAAGCATGTGTATGCTTGTAAGTAAGCAACCAGGGGTGGTATTCTGAACATTGTTGTAAGTTTTGTGTTATCTTTTGTTGTATCTTCCAGAGATAACACAGCGCTAATATTGTTGTAAGTTGGTATTCTGAACATTGTTGTATCCCTGTGTTATCTCTTGAAGGACCGCCTCTATCTTATCTTTGACCACTGATGACACGCCCATTTTTATGGACCCTACCAATCAAAATCTATTTTATATAACCATGATAAGTAGGCCAACCAATAGGAATACTTCATACTATATCTGAAGATGCACCTAGCGCATATTAATCTAGGGCGTAATTAGTTAAGTGTGCGCTTATTATGCGTGTCATCATATGCGCTGTGGCATGTGGATCATGAAAACAAGTCACATTTTCACTTAAATGGTTAAGATGAGAGCAATAAAATTGTCAATCCTAGCATGTAATTTCTTAGAAAATTCTCATCTGTGATGTTTCCGGTCAACACACAATCTTCTTCTAACTCATCTATTGGCACGAAGTTGGTTCTGGGCAAGGAAGATTGCCGCCATTATATCAACACGAAAGATACAACAACCCCCTACCTGTTGTAAATATTGTTGTAAATACCACGCAAGATAAGATAAGATAAAAGATGCAACAATTTTCAGAATACCAATTATCTCGTCATGTTATCTCCTGTGCGCATATGCAAAATGAGGATTAAGCGTCATTTTTTTAATAATACGCACTATTACAAGCGCACAAAAGTTTGAGCGCAGGCGCGACCAAAGAGATGAGAGAAAAGATACAACAAAAGTTACAACAATGTTCAGAATACCAACTTTATCTTATCTCCAAAGATACAACAATATTAGAGATAACACAGGGTTCAGAATATGGCCCCAGGGAACCAACAAATCAAGTCCTCTCCTAGGGACCTCGTGATTAGGATTAATGCCTTATCAAAGGGCACTAGCGCATTGTATTGGTTTCAAACCCACTACCTCCCTGTTACGAGACCACTGCTGTATCACTGAGCCATCACCCCTCACTTATTTCATTCAAGTAAATGAAGGTCATTTCATATGTTCATCTTAAAATTATTTTCAATCACAGGATAGATGCAGCAACTGGGAAATAGGAGAAGAAAGGACTTACAGTGTATATCATATTATACTTCATCAAGGCAAGACAGTCAATTAGCTTGACATCTCCTTCCAAAATTACGTAAATTGAATTTACTTAATCTGAAATAGTATATCTAGATAATCAGTACTGGAATTCATACCATAACACAAACTCAAATTACTAAACACTATCCCTAGACATTAATGAAGTATTTGCAAAGAAAGAACAAGCAAGTACCTGTAGCATACTGAGGGTAAGATGAGTCAGAGCAAATTCCTGGCCAGTATCTAGAGCTATCTCAAGTGAAAGTGACCTCTCAAACTCACGCAGGTCATCGGTCTCCTCAAGTGCTTCCTGGTCAGAGAGGAGCCTCATGGGACTGGGGGCGGGGCTGAAGATGGGGCTGTTAGTAGGGCTGGCTACAGGGCTGAGGGAGGAGAGAGGGTTGGAGGAGAGGGAGGAAGGCTCACGACCAGAGGTAAGGCTTAAGGCAGAGCCACCAGAGTTCATCTGTAGGCTGTTACCAGTACTTCCCATGGGGCTTGTTCTGGACCTAGAAGGCAATCAACGAGATGTTACCTCATGTGCTTAATACTTTACTTGATTTGCATATGTGCATTCTTCTCTGAGTGATACAATGTCATTGCTTTGGATGTATGGTCGGTCACACACCGGCTGGTTTTAATATCTATGAATTTAGAATCAGCTAACATTTTAAACAATATGGAGTGCACTTTGCCCTGTAACACCAAAATCTACTCCTAACCCTAACCCCACTATGTAAAGAGTATTAACCAGAGTATGTATAGCTATTGAGGTATTATTACTTACCTGTAATGAAGATTGACTAGGTTGTCATAGCTACCACGCAAGCTTAAATTCTCTTGACTGGAGCTAAGGCTACGTGAATGAAGCCCACCCTCAAAGTTCATGGACCTTCCACAGTTCCTCTGTAGACCAGAGTTAGATCTGGACAACAGACCTCGACTAACATCTTCACCTGACCCAGCCATTTGACCTGATTAACAAAGAGAAGTATTATTTTCAATATTTAAAAAAAAATAGAAATTATAACCCATGATTTTTTTCTTCTAATGTGGAAGGAAGTTATTGAAAGAAAATGAATTGTGGACTGCTCTTTAATAATAATAATAATAATACACAAGATTTATAAGGCGCCAAATCCACTTGACAGTCAAATGCTCAAGGCGCAGCTTGTGCAAAAGATGAAATACATGATACATAATATATACAAAAGCGCAATGATTTTCTATTCAGGCATGAGTTAAAGAGTCTGGAAAAAATAAACAGAGGAACAGAGGTGTATTAAAACTTAAGTACCCTTTACAGGGCTCCCAGGGGGAACATCAGTGTCACTCCTCCTTTCTTAAATTCATTGCTTGCTGACTTGGTTTCATGATTGTATTTCTTCTTCCTTTCCAGAAAGAATTATTTGAAAGTTAGAATTCCAGCTGACATCATCTGATAAGGAGGAAATTTCATGCAAGTGTATTATAAACCAAAACATCAGCACAAATTTGCGATATCTACAAGTACTTTAAAATATGTTTTCAATAATTTCAACATGATGATTTAAAACTTAAATTATAAAATCTTCCCATGTAAAGCACCGTAGAAAAATAACTGGTGTATAAATTCCAATACCTGATACTGATGTAAGGAAGAGGGCAATGAAAGTGAATGATACTAACAATTTCTACTTCTGCTTGGAGACTCATCTACTACCCAAGGCATATCTGGAGTATCTCCTGTCTGTAAGCTATGATCACTTCCCCATCGTATCACATCACCTCCTCTCCTGGCAGCTCCTTCCCGCTCATCTCTCACCACCAGCTTACCTAGTGACCCCACCCTCTGTGCAAGCATGGAAGGGTTCGACCCCGCCCTTGTCCCCGGTAGCTGATGCCTTCCACTTGGAGGTAGGTTGGTTACAGGAGAGGACTGTCTTCCTGTTGGCGGTTTGCGCATAAGCTTTACAGGAAGTCTATTTTTCTTGAGTTGGCCAGGGAAAGTCTGTGGTTGTCCACTCCCTAGCTTCTCCAGGTCAGATTTGGAATGCCTAAAAGTTGCAATGTTCTTATTTGAGTTTGTGGCAGCACTGTTGGTAGTGGTAGAGAAAGACTCTGGTTGAGGTACATCTTTGAAGAGTGTGGCAAATGGTGATGAGGAATACAGGGTCTGGAGGAAAGACTTCACTTTACTGTTTTTCGCCTGGAAGACATCTTCTGGCAAGGCGCGGCCGATGAACTTCTCTGAACTACAAAAGTATAATCTGTTGAAAAGATAAGGAAGCACCTGTATGAGGCTTCTTTATTTCCTTTCAAAATATTATGCCTATACCTTAGTCACACTTTTGCGTATTTGGCTTGCGTATTGCCACGTATTTATGGCAAGCCGTTTTAACATCTATTCCTATTTCTTTATATCAAGAATTAATTTCTTGATACCAGTAAATAGAAATAAATGTTAAAACGGCTTGCCATAAATATGCAGCAATACCCAAGCCAAATATGCAAAGGTGTGACTAAGGTATTACTAAAACTCATACCAATAGCATCGCGTAAACATGGCACTGATTTATATCACCCTAGCGATTGTTAATATGTTGCAAGGTAAAAGGTATAAAAACCAATTCTTGTATAGCGCATATCACATTATGATATAACGTCTCTCTATGCGCTTCCATAGGATATTATTACCCTGGCTTTAGCTCCTGGAAACGTAGTGCTCAGTGCATTCAAGGAATGAATCCTACCATATTTCCATTTACTACACCTGGGTCGAGTGTGGCAAATGTAGATTAATGTCTTGCCAAAGGACATCAGGGCTGCAGCAGGATTTAAACCTCTTCCCCCATACCTTGTGGTTCACAGTCCAGAGACTTATCCACTAGACCACAACACCTACAAGCAGTACTCCATGAACATCAACTTACAATGGCTTCTCTTGAGAGCTCTTTGTGTTTTTAAACTTTCCAGCGGAACTATGGACAGGAATTTGAGAACAGATTCTCTCTGTATCTCTTAAGAGGTGCATTGAAGGTAGTGTTACATATGAGAAATAAACACCAATTTCTCAGATAATAAACAAACAAACCTTAGAATGAAAAATTAAATTTGATAGTAATAATATTCAGTATTTTCAGTAACATTTATGATAAATTGTGCTGTCCATTCTCCATTTTCATGAGAAAGGGAAAACAGAAAAGGAAAGATGGAAAGGTACGGAAAGGAAAGATGAAAAAGTTTGATGACAATTAAGGAAAGATATGGAAGGAGTGGTGTATATAAGATGGTTAAAAGAGAAGAGATGGACATGAAGGATTCAAGACTGAAGCAAGCTAACCTTTGACTAGACGCAAGCTGGATGCTGATGATAGCAGCTACATCAGGAGTCATCCGGATTGCATCTTCTGAGGATCGGCAGAACTTATTCCTGCACTCTCTCCTCCCGCATCCCTCAGTCAGCTGGTAGTAATATCTAAAATCACGAATGATCTTATGATTACTCTGTACACTTCTTTCATGCAAGATGATCATATCGTGCTTTTATGCACATTAAATTTCATCAATGATACATATTTATCACTTTATCTCGTAGTTGAATTCAGAGAGCATCATGAGATTAAAATGTCAATACTGTAGGCAAACAAAATGGTAAATTTATTATGCAGATTATTTAAAATGTATTTGGAAACAGAGGAGTGTCAATTAATATAATATAACAATATTAATTACACAAGTAGTACATGAACAGACGGGTTTATAAACGTCAAGAACCTACATGAACATATATGTTTAAACCACAACAGTATGATCATTAGTGCTCTATATTGAAATGTATATTTACCTCTTGATGAATTGCTCTAGGTAATGCTTTGCTTTAGATCCTGTAGTATTAGGTGCATCATAACCCCTCTGTGGTTCTGCCTCCTGTACAGAAAGGTTACTGTCTGATAATGCTGCGAGGTTACTAGCACTCAGATTCCTGCAGAGAGTCACAGATAGAGAATTCAATGTACTATTCTGATCTGGTAATGATGGAAAATCAATTCTTACATAATTAAGTGAAACTGGTACTGAAGGCTGTAGCACAGGTCAATTATGTCTGCCAGATAGCTTGGTGATGTGCAAAGACAGATAAAAGAATTCAAGCATATATAGCGCCTTGAGCACTCCACAGAGTGGATTTGGCGCGATATAAGTTACATTATTATTATTATTATTATTATATAGATGTACAAGTCCAGACTGACATACTTAATATACAGTCTCCAGGAAATTGTGCTTTTCACTGAATGTGATTTCCAGGAATTCCGTGTAAGCTTTGTTCATATTAATCAGCTACACTAGTGAATGATGACAGAATAATTTCAGCTACTTTCTCATTAATTGCAATTTAGTTTCTAGAACTAAAGACTATCTTTTCATATCAATTTTCATAAGACTTTGTTTTGGATAAATCATCCTTCACTGCTCTTGCAAAATTGTGGAAGTGTCATGGTGTAGTTGATATTCATGGATTTGAGATCAAAATCTCAGTTTCATTCCCAGCCGTGCCACTAATGGAGGGTTTATTCCCTAGGGATATCCAGTATCGAAACTTCTAACCCCATGAAACGAGAATACATCCTTTCGAGTTTAAATGTCAAGCTACAACTGCAGCTAAGTATTACCAGACCCCATCTGTAGATTTGGAGCAATCCATAACACAATGGTGTTTCTTCAGTAAAAAAAAAAAAAAAAAAAGATCTAGATTTAAAGATTTGGTCCAAACCTACCTCTTCAAGTCCGTAAGCTTGGCTAAACTGTTTGATCTAGCACGTCCATCAATGAGAATGCTATCCAGAGATCCTCTTCTTACACTCCCCTCTAACTTAGGCTGACTGGTTGACAACTGTCTGCAAATCAAAAAGAAAATACAAAGTTTCAAAGATGATATTTCATTCCCATTCTCCAAATATATTTCAAGGCAAATGGTGGAGCTTTGTTTTTAAGTTTAGGTAAAAGATTTCAATTTTTCATTCCAAAACTAATTTTGGTTGATATGACTACGGGCTGGCATATTTGAAAATTTGTTGCATTACGTACCTCCAATTACATTGCTGAGGTATGTGCTCTTAACCAAAGAAATCACTTTCCAAGTACATGGAGACGGCTTTAATATAGGCCTACTGTATAATTACAATTACAAAGAACAGTCACATAATTACTTGCAGTATTTAGGTTTCAGAATACCCCTTTTTATTACCTGGTAAGTTTGAGTCGACCTGTGCCTTTGTCGATGGTTGTACATGTAGTAGGAATACTCTTTTTTCTGATTGCTCCTGGTCCAACAGGGGGCCGTCTATGGCCTGCAAGAGTCTCCCCGTGTCCACTCATCATGACAAGCTATACTACAGCTTCACGTTAACAAGTTTTGGCTCCGTGACATTCTGTTAGAGAAATAGAACGTTAGAAGGCAGGAATCCAGGAATAATGATAGTGAATGATAATGCCAAGGCAGAGTCTGGAGTCTTGAGACGAGTCTACTCGTTTCAATTGTGTCACGTAATTTACTTACTTACTTTAAATCTAATTTAGTGACCTAGAATAGAATAGGTCTACCAGTGGTCTATTGGTTTACTTTAACTTTTATTTATTTATGTATTTATTCATTTATTTTTTAATGTTACTTAAAAACTACTTGTTTAATAGCTACCTTATTAGTTTAACTTTGATTATCTGTAGAATCTAGACGGTAGACCTACATGTAGATCTAGATCTACATTTATTTTATTTGAATTTAATTATTAATATTATCGGCTCAGTTCTTTATAATCTATTTATCCATGTGTAGGCCAACGTAACAATATCCAGATCACAACCAGTCAAATCAATCCAACAAACGAAACATTACCTTGCTCAAGTCAATACATACATGTACATGTAGCCTTAAGGGCTCCCTGGAAATTTTTTTTATGATATGGTATTCGAGGGAGCCTTAACCGGCTCCCAAATTGATAGTAAGTTATCCTTTAATGAGCATGTTGAAGTCATCTGCACGAAAATTTCTAAAAGGTATTCTAAATAAGTTAAAGTATTTCCCACAAAAAATACTCAAAATAATCTATAATTCCATTATTTCATCTTATTTTCAATACTGTAACCTAGCCTGGAATTCCTCGGCTACATATTCAATGCTACGTTTATACAGATTACAAAAAAGGGCAGTGAGAATCATTTCGCATGCCAATTTTCTTGCCCATACAAAGCCGTTATTTAATAACCTGAATATGTTGAATATATTTGATTTTTCTGATTATGAAATTGCAACTTTTATGTACTTATGTTTTAAAAACTACATACCAAACAGTATTTCAGAATTTTTTTTGTTATAATGCCGATGTACATTCTTATAATACACATGGATCTTCAAACTTTCATTTAACTAAAGTACGCACCTCTCTAGCTAAAAACTGTATTTTTTTCAAAGGGCCTAAAATCTGGAACAGTTTACCAGTTTATATTAAACTAGTCCATCACTAAATGTCTTTAAAAAGAGATAGGGCCTATAAAACCTTGTTACTCAGTAGATATATTAGCAATGTTTGATCAGGTTTCTTGTTTTTGTTTGTTTTTTATTGTTTCGTTGTTTTGTTTTTTAGTGTTTTAGTTTGGTTGTTTTGTTTGCTGTCAATGTAAGAAACATAATCAAATCTTTTTTGTTGTTGTTGTTTTTGTTTGTTGTTAATCTTTTGGGTATATATGCTTGTACAATGTACTTATTCTGTAAATCTTCAATCTGGTCTTGTACTCATACTCTCTTCTCTGTATGGGGATGATGAGTCAAGACCTACAACTGCAGCTACTTCATCCGACGAGTCTGAATTTACCGGACCCTCCCCGCGGCCCGAAGGCGAGGCTTCTTCCTCATCCGATATCCCTAGACCCATGCCCTTCGCCAGGCAGCCCTAGCAGGGAGCTTCATGAGCTGAACCATGCCCTGGCTAGGAAACAGGAGCTTGCCCAGACCATGCATGGGACAGAGTGATGAGAAGATGCAAGTCATGAGGATACAGTATGAGACTACAATGAAGCAGCTGGAAGACCAGGTGAACACATTGTCAAAGGAGAAGGAGACATTGAGCCATGAACTCTTTGCAACCAAGACAAATGCAAATACTAACAAGTTGAGTGAGCAGCGTCGTAAGAGACTGCAGGAGTTGGAGGCACAGCTTAGTGAGTTGAAGAAGAAGATCAACTCTGCCCAGCGGCCCACGTTCGTGGGCGAACAATCAGGTAATGGGTTAGTCTATACTGAGTCTACCATGACCATGTTAATAATTTTCTTTATCTCTCTGTTAGGCCTACTTCATACTTCTTAGTCTGTATGATTTTCTCTCTCCGTATTGCCTTTAGTAGGGAGGCCAATGCCCGGGCGTAAGGCTTCTACACCTACGATTTGTGCGCTCGTCGTCCACTTCAAAAAATTAGCAGAAAGAAAAAAATGATGTAAAAATAAAAATTGATGAAAATAAGAAAATAAAATACAATTATACATTTCAAAACATACCTATAATCACGGATCTGTAACGGTCTTTTACCATTTGTTGACGATCTTGCAGACTTTGACGTATTTGTATCCAATAATTGTCGTAGCAGAAGCTACATGACGCGCACGCGCCACCGACTAAGAAAATCCTAGAGGGCGTAGAGGTTTGCTCACTAAAAACCTTCTCATTGGCAGAAGGTAGACCCTAAAAATATGGGATCCGTTTTGAGTAAAGAACTTTTGATAGAGATCAACATTTCAGATGTTCACAATTGCCACTTCTAACAACTAGAAAATATAAAGAAAAAAGATTATATCTTTTTAAATACAGATTTTTACAAACTGAACATTCAAAAGTAGATAGAATACGATGTTTCTGTCAATCTTGCGTTGGTTTGAGCCCTATAGCTACATCCATCTCAAAATGAGAAGGAAAACTGTGAACAGTGACATCATTGTCCGCGCCAAAAAAAAAGGGTATTGCGACATATGTCTGAGCTCCGGTCAGATGGTGCTCCAAGCGTAGTCTTACTTATAGTACCTTATTCTCACAGCACTAGATACGAGTGTCGTGCAGTAATGTATAAGAAGTGTTAAAAAAGATATTTCAGTAAAAAAAAAAAGTCTACGTGAGCAGTCTATCCTCCAATTGAGAATTGGAATGAAAGCCATGATTTGAAGGTGTGTGTTTTGTGTATGATACATGGTTAGTGAGTACCGTACGTTACGTATAGGATCTATAGCGAGAGAGAGAGAGAGAGAGAGAGTGAGAGAAATAATATATAGTACACGTCTGCGAACGTACGTTGCTGATTCCGTATTGTGTTCGCTGCAAGATGGATGTTATTTGGACCTCGTAACTTCTCGATCGTTGATAATGCAGTGTCAGATTGATCTTTACTCATGAGGAAATACTATTGGATTTGGAATATCACCTTAAGGTAGGCCTAGACCCTAATTATTAATTTTAATTCTTTTCTAGGATTATATTGACTACAATCACGTAGATCTACGTTTATTTTTTCTGTCTGTTCATGTTTTGTCCCTCCATGGCTCAATTTCAGGACTGCGGCTAATTGCAATGCAATTACCTAGCTGGAGCTGTGTCGGTGTGTGCGACCGATTCAAGGCTAGCCGCTGATGATGAATGGAATTTCGCGCTAAGTTTTAAACTTGTTGTCCGGGCAATGACACGCCCAATCCCCTCGGACCTGTCTAATTATGAACGTAATTTTGCGACATGAAATATAATTGTTTCAAGGCTCTTACGTACGGATAGGCTTAGAAGGAAGCTGGATAAAAAGAGCTGGATATCTCCTATTTGATGGAACTTCTGGAGTCGGCAGATGGGTGAATTTTCTTAGTGAAAGAAAATACTTTCTTTTAATCTTTGTTTTATTAGATTCTAGATCTAGACCTAGAATCTATAAACAAATTAGTAATTAAAAAGTTAGATTTTGGCATTGGCCTCCCTACCTTTAGCTATATTAATGTTAAAATACTCTTATAAAGTATGCACCAGAGAACACAATTTCACCTTGAAAATAAAAAAAGCTCTAGATCTAGACCTAGATCTAGATCTACACTGTGGGAGGGGGGACGATCATATTGGTAGGGAGGCCAATGCCCGGGCGTAAGGCTTCTACGCCTACGATTTGTGCGCTCGTCGTCCAAGTCAGAAAATAACCAGAAGAAAAAAAAAGGGGAGAAAAAAAGAAAACAAATATCTATGGAATAAAATGTATAACAAATACACAATTACACACTCCACAACATACCTATAATCACGGATCTGTAACGGTCTTTCACCATCTATTGACGATCTTCCAGATTTTGACGTATTTTAATCCAATAATTGGGCTAGCAGACAAAAATAACGGACGCACAAGAGAAACTAGAAGGGTCCTAGAGGGCGATGAGGTTAGCTCACTAAAATCCTTCTCAATGACTGAAGGTAGAGCCTAAAAATATGGAATCAATTTAATATCAAAGAACTTTTGATAGAGATTAACATATCAGATGTGCACAAATGTCACTTTTAACAACTAGAAAATATAAAGAAAAAAGATTATATCTTTTTAATTGCAGATTTTTACAAACTGCACATTCGAAGGTAGATAGAGTACAATGTTTTTGTCAATCTTGCGTTGGTTTGAGCCCCATAGCTAGAGCCATCTCAAATTGAGAAGGAAAACTGTGAACAGAGACCTCATTGTTCCAGCCCCGAATAGAAGTCTTGCGACATCATTATATGAATATGTATGAGCTCCGGTCTCATCGCGCGCAAAACAAATTTGACGTAGTCTCACACATAGTACCTTATTCTCAGCACTAGACACCAGTGTCGTGCAGTAATGTATGAGAAGTGTAAAAAAAGACATTTCAGTAAAAAAAAAAAAAAAGTCTACGTGAGCAGTCTAGAATCTATACTCCAATTGAGAAGTGTAATGAATGCCATGATTTGAACGTGTGTGTTTTAGTGTATGATATCATCATATGGTTAGTGAGAGAGAGAGAGAGAGAGAGAGAGAGGGAGAGAAATATCTCCGTCAGTACACGTCTTTCAATGCGTGCAGTCCTATTGACTATGTTTGATTCCGTATTGTGTTCGCTGCAACTGTGCAAGTTGGATTTATCGATCGTTGATAATGCAGTGTCAATTTTCTTAATTTACAATGAGTGGCTTTCGAGCTTTCTCTCATTATGTTTTGACCCTCCATGCCATGGCATGGCTAGCATGGCTCGATTGCGGCTTGCATGCAATGAATTACCGTACCTGGACGGCCTGGCTGTAGTACTGACTACTGTGTCGGTGTGTGCGACTAATTCAAGGCTAGCCGGTGATGATGAATGTACTTTCGCGCGAAGTTTTGAACTTGTTGTCCGGGCAATGACCATGATGACACGCCCATTCCCTCGGGCCTGTCTAATTCTCAACGTAATTTTTGGGACCATGAAATTGATTGTTTCAAGGCTCTTACGTACGGCCAGGCGTAGAAGGAAGCTCATAAATCATAGGAACTAGACCTAGCTGGATATCTCCTATTTTATGAAACTTCTGGAGTCGGCAGATGGGCGAGTTTTCTTAGTGAAAGAAAATGCTTTCTTTTAATGTTTGTTTTATTATAAACAAATTAGTAATTAAAAAGTTAGATTTGGGCATTGGCCTCCCTAATAAGTAATATTGGCATCGGTTGACGATATCAATCCCTAAAAGTTAGGTCTATAACTACATGTAGATTCTAGATCTACCGGTTATAAGGTTTTGCGAGCTGGACGACCCGTTTCATCTAACCTTAACTCCGGGAAGCTCCAACACCGGCGCCGGTGTTGACTTCCCGGAGTTAATCTAACCCCAAATTACATTTTACATTTACATTAATAGTCACACCATTCTGGTTCTTTCTAATCTAAATAAATTAACTCACCTGTTTCATATTCACTATTTAATGTTACTGTGCTTGAATGAAGGGAAAACTGGCGTCTAAAGTCTAAACACAATCCGACGCAACGGCAGTTTATTGTTTGACTGTTGTTGCATTGCATTGCAAAATTCGCGAAGTATAATGTAGCCTGTTTTCCAGTCTGATATATACCACAAATATATCGGGGAAATTGTATTTTCATGCTTAATTAATTTCGTGCTATATGTGAAAAGAATAAAATATTTTACAAAATAAAAATTTGATAGAACATATTGTAAAATTATATACACATTTTCTTCTAGGTTATTAAAGAAGGTTCAAATCGAATAAATTTTCTTAACTATTTTGTACAGTCTGGAAAGTAAACTATTAGAGTGAATCTCGGCGTTGTGGTGTGCGCCTAGTAAAGGGTTGGAAGCATAGAGATATATATTAAGTATATATCTCTATGGTTGGAAGTTACAAACTGATTCAGCCGAGGGCGCAGGTTCGAAGCTGAGTCACGTCTTTCGGATGGTGACGTTTAAAGGCCGCTTCCCAGACGTAAATAATCATATCTGATTGATACACGTCTGTAAAAACCCAATACACACACACATTTGAAAAGGAAAAAATCCTAACAGCCAAAATGTAAAAGCCATTGCAGACTTGACACTGGAAGAAGGAGCAATATAATTCACCCTCTACCCAGTCAGACACTAGCTCCTAACTATGAATTATGACAATCCTGATATGACCCAGTAAGCAAGAGACAGAAGTAAAATGACCATGATGCAAGACCCGGAAGCTGGGATAGCTGGGGGTGCTCGGTCATGTCAAATTACTGTAAACATGTGCATGTGTGACCACAAGTTTTTCCAGACATCCCCAAAACAAGGACTTCTTCTGAAGCAAAAAAATACACCGTCCTATATAAATGAGGATTTTTTTTTTTTTTTTTTTTTTTTTTAAAATTATTATTATTATTATTATTTATTTTTATTTATTTATTTATTTTTTTTATTTATTTATTTTTTTTTTTTTTTGGGGGGGGGGGGGGGTTTCAAAAATTCACATCATAAACGGGTGTTTAAAAAAGTGTAGGCCTACTCCTAAACAAGTATTGTAAAATAATCAAATTGCGCTTCTGATATAAAATTTACAATGTCAATATAGAGAAGCAATAACATCAACCTGTACACCAAGTTCCTAATGGGCATCAAAGAGATACTACAACATGCAGCCATCATAATTATATGTCATTGAAAAAAGGAATTAAGGTAGTAAGCACATTATTTTTTTTTGGTCCTCCAAAATTTTAAAATTTGCACCACCCCCCCCCCCCCTTGAGCGCCGGGGGGGGGGGGGGGCCCAACTTGCTCGACCATTGGTATCATTCGTTTTCGAATTTTTGGGGGAGGGGCAGCCTTTCTAAACCCACACCCGTCTCAGGCGCGGATCCAGGATTTTCCAATAGGGGGGCCCGGATATTTGAAAATCGCGCAGACCGTTATTTCAACTCGACTTACCAATAGTGACAAGGTTATATTAAAAGCACCGTACCGGTACATACAAGCGGGTATATATATATATTTTTTTTTCTCTTGTCCGATATCAACATTCCCCAAGTTGAAGTTATGTGCGAGCAATTTTTTTTACATTTTCATCGGGGGGGGGGGGGCTGAATCCACTTGCTAAAATATGAATTTTCTGGGTTCACAATTTCGCGAGCGAGCGAGCGAGCGAAAAATTGAGCATAAATTATGTATGATGTGAAAGTGTTATTTTATCTCCAAAATACGCGAGATAAGACATAACAAAAAAAAAAAATTCATATTCGGTCAAGTTGTAATTTTTAAATTTGCGGGGAAAGAGAGGCTGTACCCCGCATTAACTGCAAGAAATAAAATTTGAATGCCTGTGGAGTAAATAAAGAAACAGCTCTGGCTGCAACCATGATTACATGAGAGCTTCCATTTTTTTGGAAATCCAGAACAATTAAACTCTTGTGGTGTTATATGTGTTTCATGACTTTCAAAATATATTTAACACTTTCTTTATATCTTTACATATTTATATTCATGAATTACTTCATCACTCTTGTTCGCTTATAAAATGCCAACGTGCTCGTCGTGCTGAGTTATTTGCTATAACTATGATTGCAATGAAAACTTCCATTTATTTGGAAATCCAGAACAATTAACTTGTGGTGCTCTATATGTGTTTCATGACTGTCATAATATATTAAACACTTTCTTTATATCTTTACATGTTTGTATTACTTTATCACTCTCGTTCGCTTACAAATAACAACGTGCTCATTTTGCTCCGTATTCATATGAATACAATATAAATATTTTTAACAAATCCGCATCACCACCACTGTTACATGCAGGCCCCGCAGAACGTTTTTCAAAGTTGGTGGGGGAGGGGCTAAAGTATTTACGATCAGGTAGAGCGTAGCGAGAGAAGCGAGTGAAGCGTAAATTGGCTTAGGGTCCAGGGGGAAAAGCCCCAGCGGGGGGTCAAGGGGCAGACCCCTCGAAAGCTCAGGAGTTCAGTTTAGGAATTTAATTACGGTCAGATGAGCATATTTTGATACCTTATGTATACCTTATCACTAATTAGCCCGGGGTCCAGGGGACTGAGCCCCATGAAGCTCTGGGTTTTAGGCATTTAATAATGGTCAGATGATTTAATTGCGGTCAGATGGGCATATTTTGATACCTCATTAATTTTGTGGCACTGGAAGGTCACAATTTTTCTTTCTTCCTTTCTTTCTGTTTTAATATCTTACACATACTTTTTTCTAATGTGGGGTGGCTTGAGCCCCCAAGCCCCGCCGTCCCTCGGGCCCTGACATGTGTCCATGCCTTGAGCCATAATGTATGGCCGTACAGAGGATTTTTTCATGTTTGGGACCAGGGTAAAATGCAATGAATTATTGATAATTTATTGCATTTTCTTATTTTGTTTTTATTTGTGGGAACTGCCCCCTACCCTAGCCCCCGCTGCGTACAGTCATGGTTCAGTGGCAAAGCAATGGCCTCGTAACTGAGGCCCCAGGATCAAAACCGTGTCGACGGTGCCATAATAATTAGTGCCCTTTTGTGGGGCATTAATCCTCATTACTGTCATTTATGACTTAAGGGCGTAGGCCCCCTAGTTGATAAGCATATTAGCATACACATGCTTTAGCAGTCACACAAAACAAACACTGGCAAATCCTTATTCCATAATATCTGAGAATGTGTACTATTATCTAGATCTATTAGGAATAAATCATTGTCAAAATAATTCCATAAATTGGGGTAAAAAATAAATATTCCAACGTTATGAGCGACAGTTTATATTCTCATGGTAATAACATTTTTTTAAATTTTTTTTATCATAATCATACCTTGTCACATCAATACTATATCACATCGTTTCTTTTCATAAAAAACATTACATTCTTGCATCACATGATATCGTATCTTATAATAAATATTTTGTTATCATTACGTGCAATGTTAAGTCAGGTGATATCACATGAATGCAGGGGGGCGGAAATTTGAAAATCGCACAGACCGTTATTTAATTAATTCAAGATCCCAATACCGACAAGGTCATATTAGAAGCACCGTACCGGTAACTACCAGCGGGCACAGGCTTTGGAAAGGGGGCAGGCTCACGCCACGTCACCGTCACTTTAAAGGTACCGGTAATACAAAGTTTTGGAAAATTTTGAAAATTGGATGGATAGTGATTGTTTACAATTTTAATATGTTTGGATGCCCCTGTGGATGTAGAATAAGCACTAGAAAATTTAGCCCCTAAAACACTTCTGCTTTTGAGACAAATTGAATATAAAAATTTACCGATGCTCCCGGTAAATTTTGATAAATTTCAAATTGCGCCTACGGCCATACAATGGTAGCTGCGACCATGAAAATTTCAGAATATGTGGTTGTATATAATTATGTAGTTGTAAATGTATATGTAATTTCCAAACGGGAATAGCTAATTGGTCGATTTTAGACAAGAAACATTTTTTTAAAGCTTAATTAATATCTTGACCTTGAGAGGGAGCTATACAACATAAAGAGTTTATTATTTACAATTTCATAACTTTAGATTTAGATTTTAACCACGACAACGATCACTGAATATTGTAGGATCGCATATATGCTTCTCCTACGAACCAAATTCATGATCCAATACCGAAACTTTGTGATACCTTTAACTTTGAAATTTGTCTTCTTTCTCTTTTCTCTTTCTCTCTCTCTCTCTCTCTCTTTTTCTTTTCTTTTCTTCTCTTTTCTCTTCTCTCCTCATTTTTTTCTTCTTCTTTTCCTCCTTTTTTTCCTTCCTCTTTTTTTTGGCGCCGCCAATAGGGGAGGCCGCGGCCGTTTCGGCCCCCCCCCCCTTAGATCCGCCACTGCGTCTCATTCCCCAAACGCTCCTTATAACCGATACTGCAGGCCATATACCTCATCCAAATATTTACTTTGATTGAAGTGCATTTCATTCATCTCGAACGAGATAAAAAGGTAATAATGCACCCATATTATTTGTTTAACCGAATATACTTTGATGAGTTTGGCTTTTTGTGTCTACACAGCAAAATATATTTTTTGGATTTTCGGTTCAGGAACAAAAAGGATATACGCTCGGTACAGCACTGAAAACACAATGATTTAATAGTATTTGACATGTTGACTTGGCTTATTCGTAGCCCAAAATTCACATTTCTTACTCCATTCCATGTTTTAGAATATTGTTACATGATTGACTTCACACACCTTCTACAACGATCATAGTTAACTTTCACAATATCATTGAGGTTTATTTCCTTGCGGTTTGAAATCTGATGTCGTATGGACAGTTAGGCGTTATCAAATTAAACCTGATTATATAGCTGATTATAGATCCTTTTCATAGGTGGGGCTGCTTTTAAAAGCTAAGAATGGATTTGATTCTATTCACAATAAAGATAGGCCTATAATAATTATGTTTGTAATCATTCAATTCTAATTCCACAAACAGAATAATTATTAGCTTAAAGGTAACACACAGTTTTGGTATTATTTCAACAGGATTGGATTATGAAATTTAAAATATGCATGACCATCGTGAAACCTAGTGTTATAACTTTGAACAAATTGGGCTTTAAAACGCTCAGGATTTCGAGACAGTTAGGCGTTATCAAATTAAACCTGATTATATAGCTGATTATAGATCCTTTTCATAGGTGGGGCTGCTTTTAAAAGCTAAGAATGGATTTGATTCTATTCACAATAAAGATAGGCCTATAATAATTATGTTTGTAATCATTCAATTCTAATTCCACAAACAGAATAATTATTAGCTTAAAGGTAACACACAGTTTTGGTATTATTTCAACAGGATTGGATTATGAAATTTAAAATATGCATGACCATCGTGAAACCTAGTGTTAGACTAAATAACTTTGAACAAATTGGGCTTTAAAACGCTCAGGATTTCGAGAAATTAAAAAATCAAATTTATCGGTGATCCCGAGAAAATTTCAAATAGCGCCTACGGCCATACAATGGTAGCTGCGACCATAAAAATCTCGGAATACGCAGTTCTGATAAATAATTTCCAAATGGGAATAGAAAATCGGTCGATTTTAGTCAAGAAACATTGGTTTGAAGCTAAAGTAATATCAATCTTGAGAGGGAGCTATACAACATAAAGGGTTTATTATTCACAACGATTTCAACCGCGACAACGGTCATTGATTATAGTAGGATTGCATGCTTCCAATATGTTCTATAATTTTGAACCAAATTCATGACCCCAGTAATACAACGTTTTGGTATGGGGTCATGAATTTGGTTCAAATGAACATATTGGAAGCAAATGCGATATTCAGTGATCGTTGTCGCGGTCTAAAGTTATGAAATTGTAAATAATACACTCTTTATGTTGTGTAGCTCCCTCTCAAGGTCAAGATATGAAGTAAGCTATAAATCAACGTTTCTTGACTAAAATCGACCGATTAGCTATCCCCGTTTGGAAATAATAATTTATATATCACAACTAAATATTCTGAGATTTTCATGGTCGCAGCTGTACCATTGTACGGCCGTAGGCGCTCTTTGAAATTTATTAAAATTTAACGGGATAACCGGTAAATTTTGATATTCGTTTTTTCTCGAAAGCGTTTTAGGGGCTAAATTTTATAATGCTTATAATACATCCACAGGGGCATCCAAATATATCAAAATTGTAAAGAATCACTCACTATCCACCCAGTTTTCCAAATTTCTCAAAATTTTGTATTACCTTTAAAACAAATTAAAAATAAACCCATACAATACAATGTACTAAAGAAATGAAATAAGTGCTTGCAATTAATTTATTTTTTTATAATAATATACCGACAGCCCCCCTGCATAAGTGTAGATCCATCCTAAGAATAGATAGAGGGGAGAACATAATATATGACGAGGAAGGTACCTTGTTGTCTCACAGAGAGAGCTCAGCTGCCCCTACCAAATAATAACACCCTAGCTTGTCTGAGTTGTCTCCTTGTATATAGGCCTAACACATTCATTTCTCTCATGCTCTAATATGGCTGGAGACAAAGTCTTGAATGATCATAGTGAGCTCAGAATAATCTACTTAGAAATATAAACATAATGGGTTATTAATGAACAATATAGTACAAAACAATGACAAATGAAAACAAATCAAATAGATATAGATTATTCATATTTTATTCATGGCATGTCAGAATTAAGGTAGTCAGAACTCATAAGTACATTCTAATATAGCTGCGTGACTTATATGCCGTACTGATGTCTTGATAACTATTATCTCTTTTTAATGAAATGATCAAATATCCTTTCTACTTTTACCGAGTTTACATGATTGTGTATCACAACCAAGGGCTTTCTACATGTATCTTGTTCGTAATTCCGCTTGTAAAAGAAGCTCTTATAATTATATTCCCACATGATTTTACTTGATTCTCAAAATTCCATTTGTATCTAATGAGCAATCGAGACTATATTGCTCCTAATAACTTTTTATACACCTAAACATTATTATTTGAAACCGAGGTACAATGAATATCAAAGATGACAGGGAATGCAACACAAAAAAAGGTGGGGGGGGGGGGGGAGGAGGAAAAACATATTTTTCATTTGATCATGTGTTTCATAACAATGTTCCAGCTGAGCAAGAGAAAGGTCTACACGAGCAAGGTTTCAACAAATATGTGATAAATCTTACACTTATTGTTATAGAAGTGTGAAAATGACATTGTGGCATGACTTCAATTCAATATCGTTATACCTTTTATCATGAAATGCCATACAAAGTTCATGGTTCATTTTTTTTTGTCAGTTTATTGTTTACTTAATGATTGCAAGAAGTTTGTAAACAACACTTTATAACAACGCTTTGCGTGTAATAGCCTATTATCATTATATTTAAACAAATCTTGCTGTTAGAAGCGATGATAAAATAACATTAGATCTCTTGAATAATGGTGATGATAATAATGAAAGAGTAACCCCATACGTATTAGGGTGTAAATCCTTTTCTAAATCTCAAACGGGGTAACAATAAGGTAAATGTAAACTATTTGATTACGGTGATTTAAAGGTACTATGTCCCATTTGCAGGCCAAAAAAATGAAAAAGTTAAATTCCAACTGCATTTGAAAGATAATACTAATTTAGAACTTCTCTAAAAAAGGTGGGGCTTGAAAATGTCTTCAAGTGGGAAAATAACGACTATTAGTTGTCAAGTTGACTTTAGGGCTATAGAGCCCAAAAGTAATAGTCTTGATTTTCAGACAATTGTACCGAATTTCATACGTTTTATGCTGCGCAAAGATTCAATCAGTTTAATCTTGGCCATCACAAGAAGTGGGTTATTGATGTAGAAAAATGATGTACCCTTTACAACTCTTTTTATGTATGTTATTACCAAAGAAGAAAAAAAAAGCCAGTCAGTCACTCAATAGTGTCTGACAGGGAAGTCTAGCAAATAAACGGGTTTCCTTGCATAATTTGAATATGAGGACACTGCTTACGTTTAAATTTCACAGATAGGAAATACATGACATATTCATAATGCCTGCAAAGTTCTACAGCATTTGAGGTTGGCTGCAAAAGGGACATAGTACCTTTAAGGAAATTTTCGACGGAGCTATACCTAATTATTTTTCCCCCCAAAAAAGAAGAATGCCAAAGATCCCAAATCGAGGCAAACTCATTGACCAATCACGTGTTTTCTCGATTGAAAAAGATCATGTGTTATGGATATATCGTCGATATGTTGGGACTGTTAACGTTTACAATCGTTTTCTCATCCCTTACGTCACCATATATAATTCCGTCTTCTATTCTTGTTTAACTGTGGTCTTTGGTAGCTCTTTGGTATAGTATGTATTGACCTTGCTGTCATCTGTACCGTAGATCCCATGTATGGACATGTCTGGTGAAAACTTGGACGCCTCGGTGACCCTCCCCAGAGTTTCGGCCATAGTCCTGGTATAGTGAGGAGCATTGCCACAGCACAGTCCTATGTATGGTATTTTGAGTCTGACACATTGCTGGGTGAACTTGACGACGTCTTCACGAGAGCACAAGAGACAGTCAAGGTTATCAGGGAATGCTCTTTTGCCTCCGGAAAAAAGAAAACCAGTCGTATTACAAAGATTTGTTTGTAAATGCAAGAGAATGGAGGTAAAATAATCGAACTGGAACTGGGGGGGGGGGGGGGGGCGTTTCATGAAACAATCAGTCGGTGGTTTTCAGGCCTATTAGCCACAGGAAATTAAATTAAAATTCAGGGAAAATCTACCCCCCCCCCGGCATTCGGCGAAAATGTTCTCGTATACCTATAACTTGTAATAGATAAATAGATTGTTTTTTTGTATTTCTTCTTTATTGACTAATTAGGTAGATAGGCCTATTGTTAAATTAGAACATCGCGACTGAATTGGATCATGGCATATTATCTGGGAAATGAAAATATTTTCTGCTGGTTAGTTTTGTTTAATGTGACGTTGAGAGAGATATAAAAAGAAAGACTGCAATAAAGAGAGCGAGCGACAAAGACGTATAGAGAGAAACCGAAAGAGAGAGAGAGAGAGAACGATAAATCAAGTGAAATTTTGAAGTTTGTAACAGTGTAAAACTCGTGTCAATCTTGCTGTGGCCTTAATTATAATCATCTGAAAAATATTAGTTTTTCCTTGACCCATGGATGATAATCCTCTGTATCTTTGAATAGATTTATATCTGATAATACTGTTTGTTTCTAGTTACCTGTCCATGGATCGAGAATGGTTGTAAAGGTCGGCTCCTTGAGGGTTGTTCTGTATGGCACTGGTATGGCAGCCAAAGGAGCCTGTATGATCAAACAAGATAACATAGATCTTTATCATTCATGGATATAAGATACCGTCATTTTGGGGGTCTATGCATTGGGTGAAGTCATTCGACGACATTTATTGAACTTAGTCAAAAGCCATGATGAGTGGATTTGTAAAGGGATCAATGGCCATGCTCTAGTTTCACGTCTTAAACACGATATAACCCTTATCGGTACAGGATATCGGTCAACACCTTTTCTCCGCCTCCAGGAAATGCTATACTTTAAAACGATATTGGGTAAAAATAAGCCGACCGGCGATTTGGGACATTTCTTTCTAGTTTCTACCCATCTTTGGTAATACATTGTCCAGTAAGGGTCAAACTAAAGTTAAAAATTACTTCAGTATATTACCAAACTTAGAAAACAAATATGCCCAGATCGAGTTGGTCAGACACATACCCTCGGGGCAATGGTTTAAGTTTAAGTTCGTGTTCAAGTTTAATATCATGAAAAACAGATAACGACGATGATGTACACAATTAAAGAAACTTTAAAGAAATTACGAAAAACCTACATGGTCAAACTTGCATTGGTAGAAACTGGATTATTAGTCGTAATAACCTAGAGTTGATGTGAGATTCCAAAGCGCTGAGCTTGAGAAACTATGAAAATATCAAGTTTAAAAAAAGAATTCTTAGACGATGATTAACACATCTCCTGAATTTTTAGGCATGCGCTCAAATATATCATTTTTTTGTAAACGAAGAAAAGATAAAAGAAATGTGTATTCTCCGAGTAGGGAGCAGCTAGTACAACCAAAATAGGCCTAAGTAATTACCCCAACATTAGCCTCTACGGAGCTCTCAAGGAGAGGCATTATAGAGACAGGTCCACAAGTACAGTTGAATCCTACTACATCGGCTCCAGCGGCTACCAGCTTACGAAGAGCTTCAGTGATCTCTACATCATCAGCTGTAGTCCGTTTACCATCTTCTCGAAGCTGGTTGTAATGTGATGCTAAGGTTATCACAGCAGGAACACCTAACAGATCATGACCAAAGACAAATATGGTATAAAAATATCGATGACACTTTTGAAAACAGACTCAGGGGCAATTTCTTTACCCTATTGTATACCCTACATAAATTATGTACAGGTTACAATAAATCATTGTAATGTTTACAGGTACTTATATTGGTGTTGGGTCTTCGACAAGACTATTGACACTGCCCTAGGTTGTTTACAGGTACTTATATAGTTGTTGGGTCTTCGACAAGGCTATTGACACTGCCCTATAGGTTGTTTACAGGTACGTATTGGTGTTGGGTCTTCGACAAGGCTATTGACACTGCCCTAGGTTGTTTACAGGTACGTATTGGTGTTGGGTCTTCGACAAGGCTATTGACACTGCCCTAGGTTGATTTCGAAAGTCTTTGCGATCTGTTTAATCATTCGATAGTGTGAACCATAATATGCCACAATACAGGTATATTTGTTTTGTTTGTTCGATTTATTTTAGTTTCTTCGCGATTTGCTTGTAGCCGATGGAAGTTGCAAATTTGTGACAGATCATTTTTGTTAAAGGAAAGTCGCCCCCAACCACCTCTTTAGCTATGCATTAGCCCTTTAAACTTAAAAGATAACCCTACATTACTATGAGTGTCTAGAATGTATGCTTATTTTCCATATTAAACATGAGGTATAAATTTATTGTCACTTTTATTACAGGTCACTGAGAAACATTCTCTCTGACTCCAATGCTGTCTCGTCAATAAGTTTTAATGAATATAAGAATAAATTATATAATATGAAGCTTTTTCCTTCACCTTTTCCATATTGCTTGATAGCCTCAGTTGCGAGTATAGCCTCCCCTAGATGACCTATGGTCTCTGCCACGATGTAATCGGCCCCTTCGTCTACCGCCCACTCGATTTGTTCCTTTGCAATTATGATTAAAGAAGATCAGAAATAATACTTTAAATGTGATGAAGAATATAGAAAATATTATCACAGAACGGTTAATTAAGATTTGATACTAACCCGATATATACAAAAAAAGGAAATCATGTGAGAATCGCTCCAATCCCCTTCTTCCCTTTTCGAACCTCCCTGCCGCTAAAGTATGTCGGGATATATACTCTCAAATAATTTAATTTCTATTTTTAAACTAAATGCTAATGAAAATAATATAAGAATCATAAAAATGAAGTGTCTTATTCTCGATCACCAGGGTGACTAACCGTCAACCGAATAGCTTTCTTGTCAAAATACGACTGTACAAACAGATCATCGGGAAAACTGCCTACTCTTGTGATTACGAATCCGCCCTCGATCGGTTGCTTCTGCAAAAGTATTTTAAAAAGCAGGATGCTGTAAGGAATAATTCATTACCTTGAAGATGGCTTTAGTCTCAGTGATTGCCTCCTCGTTGCCAGGTTCGTAAACCCAAGTATTACTAAGATCACCACACATCAAGGTCCCAGTCTCATCAGCTACTTCTCGGGCCATCTTGAGGGCAAGACGATTCTGCTTCTCAAGCTCATCTTCTCGTCCAACCAGTTTAAACTTGTTACGATGACCATAATACTGCGACCAAGAAGAAATATAAACTGTATGATGATGAGGATCGTCTTAATCATAATCATTCATGATACTAATCACCATCATCTTCTGGCAAAATGAGTTATATGATTCTTATGTAAAATCTTCATACAGTCAAATGCAAAGCCCACCCCCCCCCCCCCGATTCAACGGAACCATATCAGTTGTATTTAAATTTCTCATTAATGTTTCACTTCTTCCAGGCCAAACCTCCTCGGAATGTTTGGCTCATTATACTCCCTAACACTATATTTCCTAAAAACCAATTCAAGTTTCAAGTTCCAGTTTGTTTATTTGTTAATTGCAACCCTTACCCTATAACTTTCGCCAAAAAACAAAATGTCGCCTAGGGAAATGTTGGAGCATCCAGCTAATCTTTTCATTTCCATTTCACTGAGTTGTCAGACTAGCTCAGCATTCATAATACCCCAAACATTTGACTTTGGTCATGCTTGCAGAGTAAGTGTTCCTAACCGCGCTGCTTTGATTATGAGGTGATGGTTTTTATGAATATATTTCTTTTATTTCAAGTCCCCCCCCCCCTACTTTCCCGTCTCTTCACCATGCGCTTATGATCAAATGGAAGTATAAAGATATAACTACTAATATAAAGAGAGAAAATCCCGGGGGAGAAAATACTCCATTCGTTTCGGAACTCACCGTAAATGCTTGAACCACATCACTGCCAGCGCGCACAAAATCTTTGTACATCTGACGTACCAGCTCGGGATGATCCACTACGACTTCAGGGGTAAACGGCCCGGCTTTCAAGTATCCCAGACGCTCAAAAGCAAAAATATACCCCTCCGCACAAATGACAGTCTCCCCATCCCTGATCCGCTCCATTAGACCTAACAATGGTTTGAAGACAACAAAATGACACTGGCATAGTTTTGGGGCAAACACTGTAAAAGTTGAGCTTGGTAATAAAACAAGTAAAATTGGAAAGAAAGCTATTTTTCTTTGGGGAAGGGTGGAAGCATTACTCAAATCAGCATAATAGGACATAATTAATGTTACTCAATTTCTTCCGTTTCAAAAGAATCAGTACCCGTAAAAAATAAAACGTTTACTTTTAATCACGTTTCATTTGATGTAAATTAAGAAACCATCAGGAGATTGATTTGGAAATGATAGTAGTTTTATCGACATTGTTAACGGCTAAAATTAACGGGACCTGGCCTTCTTAATGTGCCCCTTAATTCCTTTTGACATGACTCCACCATGCACTCCGGACCAAGCCCTCCCCCAACATGAAATATTTAAACATTGCCTCATTATTATATTCATACCATCAACCTACGAGATTATGCAAATAGTCTTTCAAAAAGAATGCAAGAAGAAGACAAAACGCAAAAACAATGCGAGCCAGAACCTTGGGGTTAATCGTTGCTCAAACGGTCGGCCATCGGTAGAAATTAGATGCATTAAATCTGCTAACTATTCACGAACATAATTATGCTACTTTCTTCGGATAGTTCACTCTGAAAAGTAAAATAGCTATTTATTTATTTATTTATTTATTTATTCCGTTTTATTTTAACAGGGTAGCCCCGTCAGTAATCAAAGTACTGTTTTCCAGGGGGCCCTATCGACTATTCGGTCTATATTCATTATACTACGATACTGCTACAAAATTATGCTGAGGAGTTATAGTCACTACTATTTTGACTTTTCAGAGAGAACTGATAAACTTACCTTTTGATTTGGGCATCTTGAGTTCTTGCTGGTGCTGAATCGAAAGAAAGGTCTGCAGACTTCAACCCTACAAACTGTGCTCGTGATAGTTTCAGTGTGCCTATGATAAGTATATGTTTATCAAAACTTTTACACTTATTTGAAGTACAAAGTCCAGTGACTTTTTATTACAATTTCCCATTTTACTCTTCCATACAAGTTACAAAGCGTTGCAAAGTTTGTTGTTTTTTCATCGCATGTTGATTTGCCGACACTGTGATTTTGGTGTAGATTTACCAGATAGGCCTACTACCCCGGGTTGGCCTGTGTCCAGGTTCGATGACTCAGACTTCCGGTCAGTGGTGTAACCATGCACTATATATTAGGAGCCATGACTATAGGGATTAGGGGGGGGGGGGGGTATTTAGCTGTCTTTCTCGGTTCAAACAAACAATTTTATTGTAACAGAATTTTAAATTATCGATTGTAAATTATCACCAATATGCAAGTAACAAAAAAGAATCAATCATGGTAGGCAGGCCTATACGAATAACAAAAATGCGAAATAAGGAGGTCGATCAAGTGATTATGTGGAAGATCCTCCTCTTTCTCTCTCTCAGAATATTTCTCTCTCGCTCTTTTTCTCCCTCTCTTCCCCACCCCCTCTCTCTCTCCCCCTACCCCCCCTCTCTCTCTCTCTCTCACCCTCACTGTCTCTCTTTTCCTTCCCACTCCATTTTTTTTTCGTGAAACGATCAATTTAGGGGCGTATCTTCGGACGTGGTTGATGATAAAAGATCGACCATGGGGAAAATCATGAAGTATAATATGGCATACATGTTTAACGTAGCTATTGATTCAGCCACCATACAAAGGTCAATACAACAAAGTATAACGTGATTAAGAGGTCATTGCTTTCTTTTATTTTCACGCCCCTTGTATTATTTTGAGAGGTTCAAAGTACTGGCGAGACGATTAAGTAGTAAAACAGACCGACTATCTTACCATGGACCTATACTGCTAATATTTGAAGACCATACTAGAGTTCAATATCAGGACTTGTTTTTTAGCTCTGGAATATGATTTCAGGACGCAGACAGGCACTCTATAGAACTCAATGCAAGGCGGGAGGGGGTATGTTTTAGTACCTGGACGCAGACAGGCACTCTATAGAACTCAATGCAAGGCGGGAGGGGGTATGTTTTAGTACCTGGACGCAGACAGGCACTCTATAGAACTCAATGCAAGGCGGGAGGGGGTATGTTTGAGTACCTGGACGCAGACAGGCACTCTATAGAACTCAATGCAAGGCGGGAGGGGGTATGTTTTAGTACCTGGACGCAGACAGGCACTCTATAGAACTCGATGCAAGGCGGGAGGGGGTATCTTTTAGTACCTGGACGCAGACAGGCACTCTATAGAACTCAATGCAAGGCGGGAGGGGGTATATTTTAGTACCTGGACGCAGACAGGCACTCTATAGAACTCAATGCAAGGCGGGAGGGGGTATATTTTAGTACCTGGACGCAGACAGGCACTCTATAGAACTCAATGCAAGGCGGGAGGGGGTTTGTTTTAGTACCTCTCTGAAAAATACATGTAATTTCTTTCTTTAAAAAAGGGACACGAGTTTTAAAAGGGTGGTCCCAGCTCTCCTAGATATGTCTCTCTTGATCTATAATCACATACTCTTGAACAGCACTGACACAGATACATCACATAAATGTTTCACTACATTTCACATATAATTTATCCAAAAAAGGTCAATTCAGTATTTTTTATTTGGTTTGTTTTTTCATTAATTCTAAAATATTTTGTCATTCATTCAAATTTATACAAGCACAATGAAATAACAATATACCATTCAAATATCAATATTTACAATCAATAGAGGAAAGAGAGCGAGAGCGAAAGAGAGAGAGAGAGAGAGAGAGGAGAGAGAGAGGGGGAGGGAGAGAGAGAGGGGAGGGAGAGAGAGAGAGAGAGAGAGAAACGGATTTGTGTTACAACCAAAGATATTAACAAGCAAAATAAAACTTACATGATTTATGAGCGACTTAAAAAAGAATGGTATACAAGAAAAACATTGACCTAACATTCCAAATGATTACAAACACTATAATGCAGAGATAAATTGGGGACAATCATGAATATTATATTTCATTCTCATAGTCCAATGGGGGGGGGGGGGGAGGGAGAAAGATGAATCTGTCAGAAATTATTTCGGCAATTATCATGAAAATATTTGATTATATTTTTAATGAAAAGAAAGTGAGTATTCTGAGGGAATGGTATCTACTTAGATAAATAAACAAGTGAAAAACATATTAACACAAAAAGCCTGGCCTTCTGAAACCTACAAACGTAGGACATGTTGATAAAGTCAAAAAAGAAAAAAAAAGACTTGTTTTATAATATCTACATGTATTCCTAAAGAGAAAACAGGACATTAAGCAAATGAATGGATTGACAAAGAATTTTACATTTCTGACTACAACCGATATATACATGATATCGTTGCCAAAAACAAACCCAAGACACATATCACGCATCTAGTCAGGTGTTCAAACGTGTAGTTTCGTGCCTTTTGAAAATCTGCCGACAAAAGTCACAAATATGGGCCTAACAACACATTTTTTTCTAGTTTGACACGACATTATATGCTTTATCACTGAGGAAATTTCATGAACAACTAACATTAGAAATGTAAGCAAATAAGCTCCATGTCATCACACATGAAGCTTTAATGAGAAACGTAAAATGTTGAAATGAACTACATTCAAACCAATCATAAAAATATAAAAGGAAATAATAATACCCGAATACATAAGAGAATCTCGTACACATACATATCTACATGAACATGCCATTTTGTTCATGTTTCTAAATCAGTATCATATGATTGGCTGTTATTCTTGAAAAAGGTATACACATAGTCATGTCCGACATAAATACATTTCGAACAGTGCCGCCTAGGCTTATTTCACATCTAAGAGATCAAAACAATGTAATTCTTCATTAAAAATCGCAACCTAACTCGACAATTGGAAGACTGCAAGTAGTTTTAACGTTACCTCCTTACGCAATAGTATATAAAAAGGTTGTTTGTGAGCCGATATCTAATATTCCTATACCTCCCTCTATCTCTATATAAATGCACACTTTTGACTGACTATGCCTCAATATTCATAAAAAGAGGCAATCCTCATTGTGCTTTGTGAGGGCTTATCTTTACTGGGGAGGGGTCATTTTGACCCTGCAGGGCTTGCACTATAAAGATCTCGGACTTTATGGTTGGTCAAATTTATCATGGACACAGAGCTGCATGTAAAGAGAACCGTTGCATGATTTTTTTCTTTGATTAAGACTTTCATTGTATTTTTTATTTTGTACATGTATTATGATTTATGCAAATTAGACCTTCTTCTGCACCCCAGATAGAGAGACAAAGTTCCAAATTTCTTCTCGGTAGCTTCATCGAGTTCTTTGTTGGGCCTGTGCTTACTAATTCCACTGTGCTGATTCCAAAGAATTGATTTTGCACGAGTGTAATCATTGACCCACAGTTTGTTATTTTACAAGAAGAAGAGAAGAGTTATTGAGGGGTATAACAACAACAAAAATAATTAAAAAAATGGTGGCCTCTTGACGCCCCAACATTACTACTCCGGTCACAGCTGGTGGCAGGCAAGTGCCCCCCAAAAATGTCCAAGATCGGTTGAACTTTTTTAGACCCCTTTTTTGACCTCGATCGATTACATGTTGGTGCCCCCCCCCAAACATCAAACTCTGGCTACGTGCCTGGCTGGTGGCAAAACATGTAGTACTCTGGCATATCGGGTGCGACACCTGGGTGGAGAGTGGCAAATGTGGATTGATGTCTTGCCAAAGGACGTTTGTGCCGGGCAGGGATTCGAACCCAAACCATTGGATTGAGAGTTAAGTGATTGAACCACTATACTACCCCACCTCTACACCATTGGATTGAGAGTTAAGTGATTGAACCACTATACTACCCCACCTCTACACCATTGGATTGAGAGTTAAGTGATTGAACCACTATACTACCCCACCTCTACACTATTGGATTGAGAGTTAAGTGATTGAACCACTATACTACCCCACCTCTACACCATTGGATTGAGAGTTAAGTGATTGAACCACTATACTACCCCACCTCTACACCATTGGATTGAGAGTTAAGTGATTGAACCACTATACTACCCCACCTCTACACTATTGGATTGAGAGTTAAGTGATTGAACCACTATACTACCCCACCTCTACACCATTGGATTGAGAGTTAAGTGATTGAACCACTATACTACCCCACCTCTACACTATTGGATTGAGAGTTAAGTGATTGAACCACTATACTACCCCACCTCTACACCATTGGATTGAGAGTTAAGTGATTGAACCACTATACTACCCCACCTCTACACCATTGGATTGAGAGTTAAGTGATTGAACCACTATACTACTCCACCTCTACACCATTGGATTGAGAGTTAAGTGATTGAACCACTATACTACCCCACCTCTACACCATTGGATTGAGAGTTAAGTGATTGAACCACTATACTACTCCACCTCTACACCATTGGATTGAGAGTTAAGTGATTGAACCACTATACTACTCCACCTCTACACCATTGGATTGAGAGTTAAGTGATTGAACCACTATACTACCCCACCTCTACACCATTGGATTGAGAGTTAAGTGATTGAACCACTATACTACCCCACCTCTACACCATTGGATTGAGAGTTAAGTGATTGAACCACTATACTACTCCACCTCTACACCATTGGATTGAGAGTTAAGTGATTGAACCACTATACTACCCCACCTCTACACCATTGGATTGAGAATTAAGTGATTGAACCACTAAACTACCCCACCTCTACACCATTGGATTGAGAGTTAAGTGATTGAACCACTAAACTACCCCACCTCTACACCATTGGATTGAGAGTTAAGTGATTGAACCACTAAACTACCCCACCTCTACACCATTGGATTGAGAGTTAAGTGATTGAACCACTAAACTACCCCACCTCTACACCATTGGATTGAGAGTTAAGTGATTGAACCACTAAACTACCCCACCTCTACATGTGGAAGGTGAACAAAGTAGGGAAGTAATCCTGGAGAGGAGGAAGAAACAGAGACCAAACATTGATATGCAGGAGGATACTATTCTTGTAGGAGTACGACTTGGACTTTATTTATTCGGGTTGGTAGTAGCATCAAATTAGGTTGTTCTTTGAAAGGCGTTTTCAAGAGTGAGGTAGAATGGAGGACATTATTGTTACAGCATGGGTGCTTTAAATAAAATTTGATAACTGTCTTTAGTCTACGATGTCGATTTGCTAGGCACAGATGTCTGAGTTCTATTTTAATGGGACAATGCCGTTAACAAAATCGTGGGTTTGTATTTCCATTTGCTAGCTACATATAGCTTTGGACTGTGTGAATATTTTCAGAGGAAGAGCTGTGACAGAGTTTTTTTGATGGCATAGTAATTGATTTTTGCTTTCATCGATTTTCAGTTAAAACCCCGGCTCAAACACAAAATGGTTTGATATATAAATCAAACAAAATAT